AACCCACCACCCATCTGTATAAGATTTCTCTCTATTTGTACAAAATTGGTTGTAAAAGTCATTCGAAACATGGTATGACGTAGATCAGTTGGGAAATGAAACTCCCAAGAACAATACGCCCAACGCGGGAGACATTCGGTATTAGTTGTTGGAGATTCCACGTCCCCGCTTAAATCTCGTGTTACTTCAATGCCTTTGCACTTTCTGCCTTCAATAGTGTCTTTGAAAATAATAAACTTAAGAATAAATTCACAATTACTTTAACATAGTCTTTCGCTCATTTTTAACATATTTTAAAATTCAACTTCTCGATTTAGTCGTAATATTATCTTACATTTTTACGAGTTGTTTTATGTTATGAAACGTATTTAGGTTTTTTAGTGCTTGATCAAGAAAATAATGAAAAAAAAACTGCATAAGAAATGACTTACTTGAGCTTAGCAATAAAATCATGAACAAAAAAATTCGATTCATTTTTGTTAAATATTTTGAGTTAAATTTACTAACTAAGTTAAATTTAGTTTTTCTCATCGCCTTTCACTGTTCTAGTTTGTCTCAAGTGCTTAAATACCGCGTTGCAACCGGCAAGCTTAGCTTGAAATTTAAATCAATCACTTCCAAGTTATTTATACCTAAACAACATTTCCACATAAAATTCTTTGTCTTCGCTGAACGAAGATTTCTGCCGAATGCAAATACTGCACGAGTTCTGTGATATAACCATGCATTGTTGTCAAATTAAGATTCTGCCAGAAAAAACTCATTGAAACCACTTTATGTTTTGAAGTTATTGCATCGTCTTTATTTAGCTGAAACTGAAAAAAATTGAGAAATATTTTACGCTTTGTTCAATAGTATGAGTTTTCATGGACTCACGATATCCCGGTTTCGTACAAGTATGTTATATTTCTTGAAACGCAAGATGTTATTGTTTAATGTAGGAAAAGCAAAAGTAACAAAGGTTTGGACTCTTACTAACCAGTTATATTTAAACCAAGACTAACAGAAGCCAAATATAATTTTTTTGAATAATAGGAGTTTTCATTGACTCACGATATCTCGGTTTTCGGTTTTATACAAGTATTGTTGGATTCCTTGCAACCTAAGATGTTATTGTTTATTATGGGAAAATCAAAATTAACAAACAGTTGGAGTCTTACTAACCACTTATATTTAAACCAAGGCTAACAGAAGCCAAATATAGATATGAATGCTGATTCATTTCTTTGAAAAAATTTTGCTAGGTAGAGAAATGACCCGAAGCAGATGTGGACGGAAAAGTTTTCCTAAAAACTTTTTAAGGTAGGCGGTGGCAAATGGATGGAATTATTGCAAAAATTATTGCGCGCCACATATTGGTACAATCAATAAAAAATCATGGTTCAATCGACTTCAATCCGAGTCCGGATCCGAATCCCGGCTCATCCCTACAAACAATATGGAATGGAGGCAACTAATTTTTTGTTCACTCTAAATGTGAAGGGACTGTAAGCTATGAACAGGAGGTATATTCACTTGGCTAATTCAGACAGTCCCTACTCATAATATAACTAAAAAAAAAAAATTTGAATAAAGTTATGGCTCAACTCAACTCAACTCGACTGTATACATATAAGCATATTTGCACACTTTGTATATTATAATAAACATGAGAAGATAGTTTTCAACGATTAAATCTAATCCCAAAAATTGCAATTTGTGATTTTTAAACAAACTCAATATATTTCACTTTCCGTTAAGAATTTGCCACAAAAGCAGACAAGCATTGTGAAAGACGAAATGGCAATGAATGTTTATTCAACGTAACAAATTTTTATTTATCTGGTTCATGTTAAATGTTTTTACAGCCAATTTTTTTAAAATTATGCCAATGGTTACTGAAATAAATATGCAAAGAATGTTTTAATAAAATGTATGCTATTAGTTCGTTAAAACTAAATTGAAAAAATTAAAATTTCCGTGTCATTCACGTTTGTTCATTTTAAAACGATAAAAATTTGTTAAAATAAACTCCATGATTAAGGCTGTAATGGCCTTGAAGATTCATTAAATGACACGTCTATTCACGCTTCTAGATTTGTGTTTTGTTTGTCAACTTGCTCCCTTGTTTCCTTATCCGCTCTTCTAATTGTGCCATTATACCATGATTTTAAAAATAGAATAACTGGTAGAATCAGCCAGAACACTCTGGCACATGTTGCACCGAATGAACCTCCAAATCTTGCACATAGAAAACCTATAAGCGGAAAAAAAGTTTTTTGTCCTCGTGATAAACAGCGTAGATTGTGGCTGTTGCAAGACCCATTAAAGCTGAAAATGAAATGAATTTTATCAATTATGTCACACGATTTTTGAATCATGTTTCTCGCTGGTACACTCGTGAATTGGAAAAGAATTTCAATCAGTTTATTTCCTCTCGGTCGATAGTATGAAGACATAAAATGCTGACAAGCATCGGTTTCGTGAAAATATTTGGACTTGAGAACCTTCCTTTAGTTTTGCAGCTGGGTTTAAAAAGTTAAATAATTGGATTGATCTTAAAGCCAAAATACCTAGCCAAGACTACAGGCGTTGAGCGCCAAATAATAATTATGAAATAATTTAAAAACTATTTTGTGAAAATAATTATTTGTCTATATTAGTATTTCAGGTGAAAGATCGCGCAATCGAACGTTCAGTTAAATCATTATGATGTTTACAACAAACTGATAAATTGAATCGAACTGAAAAGGTATTTTAAAACCGATAATACCTGAATAGAGCCTAGATAGAAATATAAAATAGTAAAAATAGTATGATATAATTACCTGCAATAGTTTCCAATGCAACAAATGGTCTTAAAGTGCGGTCTCAAACAGTTTGAGCAACAGTTGTTGATGCTGACAAACCAATCAACGAGGGTAGAAAAGCTGCAAGAAATGAATCGAAGTGATACAGAGACAATTGAAAGACCAAGAGCAACTTTTTCGTCAATTCCACGTTCTGAAACAAATTGGAAGAGTTATAAGCGGTGTCAAATTAAAAAATAGATGATGATGGAAGGGGGTGTGAACAAATACATGATTTTTATGAATTTATGGGCCTTTGCATTGTAGAATTTATTTTGTGAGTCGATATTCAAATTATATAAGACGCTCGATGTTATATTGGTATTTACTTCATTTATTCCTAATATGTTTTTTTTCCTAAGTATCGGATTATCGTTGGCTGTAATATTTCATACAAATTATTTGCAATTATAAGATGTACAGTGTATATATTCGATCTGTATTGTAATAGTTAAAACATCAATATATATCGTAACATGCCTATGTAGCTTAAAGTATTCTGCGAATCTTAAAACGTCATATGGAATAGAAACTCTTTCTTTAATTCCTACTCTTAAATGTAATAATTCTGACTGCCCTTCTGTTTAATTTAGTTTTGGGAACTGTAGAAATCCTCCGCCACTAACGAAAAAAAGCGAGAACATCCCCGCCACGCTTTATAAGAAAAAAAAAATGTTAAATACTCTAGTATGCGTTCGGGTTTGAAATAAGTTAATTTTTATGATATTCGTTTCGGGGGTTTCGTGCGTAACAAATATCAAATATGCATTTGGGCGTGAAATTAAAACATAGTAATATTTTCTATTACGATGTGAAAAGTATTACAAACTTGGGTGATGAGTGTTAAGTATGACTGTTGCTTAATGCAGTGGTTTCAAACTTTTTCTCAAGCAACTCAAAAACCATGTAATGCTCACATACTGTGGTATGTGATGCTCATGCTTTATATTGTCACAAAATCAATCAACCAACATTAGCACCTACAGCATCTGCCAAGTTTTATGCATTGTGCAATATTTGATACCAAATATTAAATTTACCATGGAATTTACTAAGATTATATTAGCAGTAATAGATTGTAATAGTAATAGATAGATAGTAATAGTAATAGTAATAGTAATAGATTTTTGTTAAAAAACAAACGACCAAAAGCAAATTTCATGCTAACCAAAGATTTGTTCCCGAACTATATGTTAAAAAACATTGGCTCAATTAAATTGGTGCCTATATACCTGGCATGGGCAATCAACGGCCTGCTAGACAAATCCGGCTGTTGGTTGATTAAATCTGGCCCGTATGTTGCTTCCACAACCAAACTAAAATCAAATTTTGATGTTTAACTCATAAAATACCTCAAGAATATTGTTGAAGTTCAGATTTGATTCATTTTTGGCACGAGGCTTAATGTTCATTTTTGCTTTTGTAACGCGTTAAATATTGTTCATCAAATTTTTACGCCACACTTACATGGCCAAACATTCTAGGTGGGCAAACATCTTGCGCAACCTTGCTATATACTAAACGCCGCAACAAGATACTTGAATATTTCGAACTTATTCAATTAAATTGAGATTGATGTAAAAGCTTGTATAAGTTTGATTGTTCAAAAATTTCAGATAATTTCCATGACTGATCTATGCACAAAGACCTTTTTTTTTACCTTATAAACTTTTTCACCCATTCACGTGATGATAAGATTAATTTCTTGGAATGCGATTATGCCTTAGGCGTGAATTACTAAATCCTCAAAGTGGCGCTATGGAACAGACGTAGAACCAATAATATTGTGCATTTTTCGTTAGTTTACTGTGAATTCGGGAAAACATATTTCGAGATGTACAGGTAATTGGCATAGCCAAGATTTTATTCATAATGTATAAAGTTTTAGGTTTTATTCTTTGGAGGGGGATATTGAGAGATAAAGAAATGATTAGAGATTAGATTGTCTAAATTACAATTTATTACAGAATTGACTCCACTTCACCGATATAGATATGTAAGAATGGCCGTGATGTAATTTAATATGGAATGCGGGAAAATACTTGGCTGTTTCATTTTTGTATCTTAAATTTTTCCAAATATTTTATTGTTTGATCAGATTATGTTTTGAACTAATTTTGATACAAAAGGATGCTATAGAAAGTATATGATTTTGATGCACTCCACAAATCGGAAGAATATAACTGTTGAATATTATAACATTTTTTATCTTCGTGTGATGGCCATAGGTTTACCCGATTCATATCAAGGTGAGAAATTTTTAAGTTGTAAATTTTGTTCAAGAATTATTTTTCAAATATACGAGATCTGAATCATTCACTTTTTGTTAAAAAGGCATATTCAATAGTGACATTTTGCTTAACGCAATTTGCAAATTATTCTATTAAGACGAATTCATATGTTGTATAATACTACTGGATTTACTGCTGTACTATATTATATGGTATCTGTGCAAATGTACGCATTGTTGGATAGTTAGATGCTCAACCAGACATACAACAATGGCCTTATTAGTAAGGAGACTCGACTTTCGTGAATAAAAAGTCTTTTGCTGACTATATTAGAACTTGGGTATATGATAAAAAAAAAAAAATTAAGCATCGTGCATTGTAATCTGTTTGTTGAGATAATATTTTTAAGGCACATCATGAATTATCTGTATGTCGGATATACTTATTACCATCGTATCCATACGTTGTTATTAGGTCTAACCCGTGAGACTGAGACCCACCGGAAAACATTACTCAATAAATTTTTTGGTTTATTTGAATAGATGCTCGATCATGATCGGATAGTAGGCAACGCAAGAATTACTATGATCATATTTTATCAGTTTTTTTCCTTCCTCGTAACAGTTGCTGTTTTTAAAGGACATTGGGGTTAAGAAAAATGCTGCAATTGCCATTTTAATTGTTTTGTAATTGCGACACTTGTTTTGACAATGGCTTGGGCGGATATTATTACGGTGTCTTGAAGTACCCTTTTGTTTCTAAACAAAGCCAAGCAGCTGCCGCAAACAATTCCAATCTCATTGAAATTGAATGCAGCATCAATGCAAGTCAGCAAATATTTGGAATTATTTTATTTCTTTTCACTTCGAAAAATGTATTTCGAAAAAATTATAACAAATTATATTTTTCGGGATTGAAACTAACAGTAAAAAAATCGCTACAAACTGATTTTGAAGGGAAGTTGGGCGAAGTCTAATCTTGTTATTCACCTTAAAAATGGTATTTTGTTTTTGCGACACTTGTTTCGACGATGGTACGAAGAAAATCTCGATGTATTAAGTTACCTATAATTACAAAGACACAGCTAACGAAATTAAACCCAATCCGTATTGTGATTTGTATGTAGCATCTTGTCAGCAAGCATTTTTACTATATTTTTCGCCATGTTTGCCTTTTATAAAAAAAAAAATAAAATAAATATTGAACTTTAATTGAAATATTCGTCATATATTAAAAAAAAATTTTCAATAGTTGTTTTTACGATGACCCAGAATATGTCGTTTACCAGAATTTATCTGTCCCTGTCACAAATTGAATGTACTTAGGATTATCCACTGTCAAGTGAGCAAAATTTTAAAAAAATTATGCTTTGCGCACGATTGTCATTTACAAGTTGTAACAGTAATAACAATAAAATTTTTATCTACATCTTTACAAAATAAATATATAATCTGATATTGTCCATTTTGACTATTCTGTTTCCCCCACACACTGTCTTGCGATATTGCAAGTAAATCCAGTTTATAGTAAGCATTATATGTAGATTAACGAAAGATGATATTTGGTATTATTGTTCGCTTTTACAAAGTTTTTGTGCATACATTAAATAATAAAATGTAAATTTTCTTATCGTAAGGTAAAATTTTAAACTTCAAAAAAAAAATTTATTAACATAATATCATTAGAAAAATATTAAGAGCCAAACCTAGCTTGTATTTAAAAGTAAACATTTTTGTCAATAATTGAATTGTGTAAATCATCAGATATTACATTGTTTGATAGTATAACAAGGTTACGGAAAATCGAATGCTACGAAGGTTATTATATATGGGGGGCTGTTTGTCTCTGGTGAATATTGGTGGTGAAGATTGATAAAATTAAAACACGACGGAACAAACAATTATAATAGATTAACAATTTTCCTTTGTGGGAAGAATTCAAACCGATGAACAATAATAATTAGTTGAGTTCAGAGACGTTAATAACAACAAAAAGTATAATGAGACCACTTTATTTTTGAATCACTTCTTTGATGAAATTGTACATCTCGTAGAAATAAGTGACAAAGTAATTTGAAATATTTGAATTATTTAGTAAATATAACTTTGGAATAATAATAGGTACAAAAACTATCAAAAATTTGATCAAATGACCTTTGAAAACTTCAGTATTATTCTGATCGGTAAACTTTATGTAAGTGCACATAGCACCCAATGTTGGGAAGTTATTGAAAGTGAGCGAATTGGGGTAGCGATTTCATGTGTATAAGTGTTTTCTCTTATTGACGATTAATTGGTTATATTTATATATGTCCGAACAACGTTTTATTATACGCAAGAAATATTATTTATAAGTATATCTTATTTTATTCACACACCTCATGCTTTACCCTATGCTGATTTCAATGGACATTGGGACAAAGAATAATATCACAATTCTCATTTTAAATATTTTATAATAGAGATACGTAAACGAATATTTGAAATTATTTTATGATTTTTTAGAATGTATATTAATAATACAGTATAACTTGACGTGATAAGTACCTAAATTAAAACCTAATGTAAATTTTTAAAAGGCATTTATGTATTTGACTGTAACTTTGAAATAAACTATTGACTCATACTTAGCTTTACTAGCATACAAACCATTACAATATTGGCATAAATTTAATGGGAAAACGAATTTGATTTATCCGAATCTTTGTATAAGTAAGAGATTGCCCGAATGCTTAATTAATAAACGCATTTTTTGTGTATTGGTTTTTCATTTACACATTTTATCTAGTTATACAGAATTTTTACAGCTGTGTATTGGATTTACCTTCACAGTTGCATAATGTATACAATTGTAAGAAATGATGAAAATTAGTGTTTATATTTATGCTTGCAATGATGACATTCAATAAGTTAGTATAGCGATATTACTGGGAGTAAGCACTGGTAGTGTAAACCTGTTTGTATTTATGACATTATTCATGTTTTTAATATTAGAATTCTACTGGACAATTCACTTGCTCTTAAAACATGCTTAATTTGTAATATTGGATGAATTGTATAGAAAAGAATTAACTGAATACTGTAAAAGTAGGTTTTATTGGTTAGGGGATTTTTGAGTTGGTCGGTTTTAGCGATTTCATTAACATACAGAATAAATAAATCCAATGCGCTTGAAGTTGTTATGTTCTACCAAACTAGATAAAAGATAAAAAAAAAATAATTCTCACCATGTAATAGCATATATTGATATCCCAATACTATTGGTTTGGTTTAGTTTACATATCCAGACAGTATACAATATTTGACATGCAATTATTTTAGTTTGTCACTTGTCCTTTCATTTCACAATGAGTATAATGTTATCGTGTTTTATATTTCAATTCAAGTTTTTTTTAATTAGTCTTAGTGACTCTCGTTTTGACGATGTCAATCGGAAAAATATTACGTGGCTTGAATTATTTATATCTGTTTTAAGACAAAGCAAGCTTTGTTGTAATCAATTCCATTCTGCAACGTGCTTAATATGAAGTAGTATCGCTTCAGCAAAAATCTGGAAATATTTCATGCTTTGAGTTCGATTTTCCTTTACAAGTCGTTAACGTAATTATATCAATTTTTCCGTCCTAATATTGACTTCCATACCTGACATTTATAAGCATAGCAATATGATGACAGTTTTGAGAGCTTCTCTTCATATGTATTTATCCCATTATTTCATTAAAAAGTGTGTCTTATAATTTTTAAAAGAAGAGCATTTGTAAATATTATTGCCGATATTAGCTAGTGCATCGTCAGGTTATATTTTCCTCCTTCTTGTAAGATAATTAGATTAGATTATTTCTAAACTTTTACGAAAGTAGCAAATAATATGTGTAGAAATGAAATGGTAACATTTTATTTGTAATCTGAACAGTTATTGAATTAAATCTCACTAGTAAATGGCTGTTCATCCTAAGCTCTAATTGGTATAATGGATTGGAACTTACGAGTTACTATATTCTAAGAACAAGGTAATTGGAGATAATCTCGATTGATTGACCATATGACATTTCTGGGAAAATACCTACTTTGAATATTTCATTCTGATCGTAGTGTGCTATTTATACATATGCTTTTTTCAGTTTAAAAATGAATGCAGAAAATTAATGTTTTGTGTATTTATTTTATGAAAAGAAGAAGTAAAAGGCAGTATAATATTGAAAAATGTATCTTGTTAATTAAATAATCATTTGAAAATATAATATTTTGTTCTGTATAGATACAATTGGAGTTTGTGGATAATTGCAATGTTTATATGAGAAAATGGCATGTGGTGGCAAAACAATTTCAAGCAAGTTATATAATCGAGAAGATCTTAACAGAGCTCAGGGGTCTATTGACAGAAGACAAAGTGAGTTATATACATGAATTAAATAATAATGGATTATTTTGGTTGTTTAAATAAACAAATGAGACATTTCACAGAATCAATTAATTTTGTTTCAAAACACTATCTACATTCTACACAGTGTCTTAACGTATCCCAATCTAGACTAGCGTTTCCCAAACTGTGTTCCGCGAGCGTCTCCGAGCGTTCAGAGAAAAATAAATCAAAAATAGGTCTAAATGGGTCGCCATGGCGATCTAGGGATTGTGAATATGTCGCCCAAATGACCGTTGAATATCGCGTCAACGTCGGCATAAAGCGAACTAACTAAGGTAGGGTAGTGGCATTTTCGTTAACCGTCGGCCTAGATTTTTGACTGTTAGATTCATTATCAAGTTTGCAGCAATCCTTTTGGTTTTGCTATAGAGGTATAGACAAACAAACAGGTCTAAAGATTAAGGCAAACGGTCAACACTTCTTTCGCCATCTCTGCCTGGTTTACTTCGAAATGCTGAAAAAAGTACTCATGTTCGCTAAACTCGATTCAGCAGATAAATAAACTGCAGCTTACGAAGTTGCAGCAAGTACAATCTCTATTAGACGTGACATTAGAGGCAGACACTACGTAATTGAAAGTAAACGACATAGAACTGTAAAATAAATTTGTTGATCCATATACAAAGCATTCAATGAAGGTACAATAAAACATTTATAATAAATGAAATATGTAAAATATTCAATCATATTTTAGGTATGTTTAACACAATTCTGTTAGTTTTCGCGGTGCATTTGGCAACTCTCCATGACGAACTCGTTGGCAACCGCTGCAATTACAACGTTTTTCTTTATCAATTTCACCCTTTCATTTTTTGGTGTTCTGTGGCCGAAAAAGTTTGGGAAACGCTGATCCCTAGACAGACAATGAAGTAACAATATAACATAAGCGTGGCCCCAAAGTTTGAAATCAGACATCACACTCTTTCAGTTCACCATTATCTGTACCATTATAACTATTTCTCCCAGTCATTAATATATTTGTGTTTCATATATCTTATATATGTGTATCACATTATTCGATTTGATCGAAAAATATCTTGACTATATTGAAGTGACTCTGGCTATCCAATTCCCCTTCACTGCATCTGCGATGCAATTAGCGATTTAAATATCACTCAATATATTCTACAGGTAATTCAGACCATAAGCTTATACCCATTGCACATGACGAAGATGGTCATTTACAATTAAATCTCGATGCCTTAAAAAGAATACTTTCAAACCCCTTGATAGGTGATAAACCGATTTCTATCATTTCTGTTGCTGGGCAATACAGAACAGGGAAGTCGTTTCTGCTGAATTTCTTCATTCGGTATCTGCGAAAAAACGGGGTAGGTTGTTACTTTTCAAATTTTGATTAGTTTGATTTTTCAGTCAGTACTTTTATGTCAACTTCATTTAAAATATTATTTTTTTTAACTCAGTCAATTTTGATAAAGAAGTGATATAATTTTACTGTGTTTGAATAACAACCCCAATTTTCTCCTATTTATTTTTCGATTAGTTATTTTCCGTGCTAGATTTCGCCTATTTTTTTTTAAATTAAATTGCACAAATATCTAATTTATTTTGCAAAGGATGAGGTTTTCTTTTATTTATTTTTTTGAAATATTATTTTTCGTGCTAAATTTTGTCTATTTATTTCAAAATTCAATTGCATGAAATGAATGCAAAAAATGTTTTTGCTCACAATTATAACAATCGACTCTAATCATTAGAGAGAAAAGCTGCTATCATTTTCAACTCTTTATTTTTAGTGGAAAAACTGTGATTGGATTGGAGATGAATCAACCAAAGTTACAGATGGAATTGATTGGGAAAAAGGAACAGAAGCGCATACGAAAGGAATATTAATGTGGCCGGAAATTTTTGTTGTAGAAGATTGCGGAAATGACGTATGTAATATTTCCGTCATGTAATATTTAACAGAAGAACATTTTTAATACGTCCAAATGATATAAAATAAAATTGAAAGTGTCTATTCATCGAAAAATTGAACAATTTAATGTAAGAGAGAGAAGATCTTTGTTTGAATTGACCTAATTGTAAAATTCTTTTCTTTGAGACGATAAAAGTAATCACCTGAATATTTTCTGTTTTATTCAATAACAGGTTGTTGTTCTTTTAATGGATACACAAGGATTGTTTGATACAGATACAGGATCGGACACAAATGCAAGAATTTTATCAGTCAGCACTTTGCTGAGTTCACACCAAATACTAAATATTATGAACAGAATTGAAGAAAGAGATCTGGAGCATTTGCAGGTTGTTAATGTTTTTATTTAATTTATGCACGACCTCGAATTTGTAAGACTGATTGTCAAATACTTGTCTCAGTCGTTCATATTAATGAAAACTAGCAAGAATACGAGGTATAACACACTTATATTTTTAATTGGCAATTTATGGAAGCCTTTAAGCATAATTGCAGCAATGTGATTTCCGAATTTTCCAACAAATTTTCCAGCAAATTTTATGTTTTTAGGTTCAACTTTAACCTTCTTTATTGTTGTTTAACTATAAATATTGCATAGACATTCTATCCGTATCTCGAGTGTTTGCACGCATGCGCTGCGATCAAGCTTAAAATGGCTCTCACGAATTTTCAATATAAACGACTGAGACGAGTATTTAACATACAATTGGATTAGCTTGTTTTATTAGCACTGTTTATTAAAAAAGTGAAATATGTTATGTATTTTTTGTAAATGAGATCGGAATAGTCTAAATACAATTTCCTTAATCAAAAAGTACTAGCTATAACTAGGTTAAAATAGTAATGTTTCGCGAGGTTAATACTGCGTTCAGGTGAACATGACACATAATTGAATCATGTATGTATTTTATGTGGTCTTTGTCTTAATTTAATGTAAGTTGAAAAAAGTAACAGGAATTCGCCATTTACGACGTTATGCAACATTTCGTCAAGCCGATCTACTGTCTGCGGTTTGTATGCCTCATGGTTCACTGGTTCTTGAAACCTGTGGTAAAAACAAGCATTTTCGACTAAATTCCAATCATCCATCACGGAAGGGATATTTTTTAGATAGCACAACAACACAATTTTTTTAAAACTTGTCAATGTGATTTGCTTTAGAAATGTATGTTTTTAAAATGCAAAGATCAACATCTTCAAAATGTGATATCCTTAACGAAGGGAAATACGCAATATCAAATATAAAGCCCCAGCTCAGGCGCTTACTTTAAGATAGACAGACCAAGTTTGTGTATAAACTTATATCACGAATGTTATTTGGTTTTATTAATATAAACGACTGATACAGGTATTTAACATACAATTGGATCACCATATTTTATCGGCACCGTTTATAAAAAAAGGAGGAAAATAAATTCTATATATTTCTGAAAATAAGAAAGGAATAATCTAAACACAATTTTCTTAAACAAAAATTACCTGAACTAGGTTGAAAATGTAAAGTTTTGCGAGATTATTACCGCGTTGTGTTTAGGTGATTCATAATTGAACCATGTAGGCTAAATGTCTTTTACGTGGCCTTTGTTCGAATATAGTCTAAGACAAAAAGTTGTTGGAATTTCCCATTTCGTCAATGCATTATACTGTCTGCGCGTACTGTTTATGTTTCATTGATCATGGCGTTCTTCAAACCCGTAGTAAATACAAACAGTTTGTACAAAGATTCCAACCATCCATCATGCATGGGTAATATTTATTTTGCACAACAACACATATTTTTTTTTGAAACGTTCCAAGGAGATTTGGTTTCAACATTTTTTTTTCTAAATAAGTAGACAACAACATCTTGTGCACGTAGTATTCTTGAAATGGTCTGGTGAAGTTTATTTTGTGTATAATCAAAAATCTGTATAGCACTCATGAAACAACAATACCACGAGTCAATCATAATATTGAATTAAATCGCTGAGTATAATTATATTCAAAATTCTTTTTAATGCAACCAGTTCATGATAATTTTACTAAAACACAAAATAGTGACAACTTTTTTTTTATGTAACGTAAATATTCCTAAACCTACCTTTAACACGAAACACAAGTTTTTGAGTAGCGATGCACAAATAAAACAAGGTAGAATTTAAAACAGTAATATCCAAACGTTAAACAAAACGCATTAACAATATGTAATATTATGATATTTATTTAAATCATAATTTTAGCAAGGTGATTTCCGAAGACTCAGATTGATTTGGCGGGAAGTTTTTGATAATTATTGGACACGAAATACACCCATAAATCGTTTTTTTTTGCGATTATTTGCTGTTGATGATGTTGTTATTAGTGTAGTCAGTATTCCCCCCCCCCCCCCCCCCAAATACTGAACCTATTTTCAATGTTTTAAGATTTTTGTTATAGCTAAAAGCTATTGATTTTAGTTATTTTAAAATTTCTTTGAGGATTTGTGGTATTGGTTTCGGTTTGTAATGATCTCATCGAAAATAAAAAATAGGCACTGTGTGGTGTGGCGTTCCACGTTTGCGTTCCCGATCATAGGAATGGTCGGAACGGGGAGACTACGGTATCGGTATTGCAAAAAACTTTGTTCTGGACCTCGAGTCCCATTATTTCAGCATTGCTCTACTGTTTGTAATATTTTAACAAAAGGTTACTTGTAGCAACATCAGAAACAATGATATTTAACAAAACAATCCTAGATGTGATGAAATACCACGCTGGAATTAATCATATGCAACTATTTTGTTTTATACGTTTTAGTTATGCAGTATTCACGCAAAAGCTGCGACAAGAGAAGTGAGGAAAGAAATTATTCGCAATAAACCATTTCAGGTATGACGTTCCATTAATATGGTTTGCAACCAAATGGTGTACTCAACTGACTTTTTCTATAGAATTCAATTTATTGTGAAAATGAAAACTTAGTGTACCATTTTTCTGCAGTCATTCTCAAAAGCAATACGTTTTCTTTTTCTTTTTCAGACTTTGTCTTTCCTTGTTCGTGACTGGCAATATGAATTCGAGCACAAATATGGTGATGGCGGCATGAATTATCTCGATGGAATTTTGAATCGAACATCAAAATCAACTGAAGTAAACAACGTGAAAAAATCAGTACTCGTACGAGACGTTTTTAGTAACGTTCAATGTTTCCTGATGCCTCATCCAGGAGATGATGTGCTGACCAAAAGTAAAATAAATGTTACAAATGAAGGTGGGACTTAAATGTTTTATTATTTTTAAAATCTTTGAAATTTAAATATTTAAGTAGCAGTTTTTAATTGAAGTGACTTGAAATAGGCCTGTTCAAGTTGACAAATAAAATTATTAATTTATTTTTGGGCTCATTAAATATGCTTCACTTCCTATTTACAAAGATAAATAAATAGTAAATATAATCTTATTTAAATTTAATCTTACTTTAATTTTATTTGAACAAATTTCATACATGGTTGGCGCAAAATGGTCATTTAATCTATTCGTTCGTTCGTATGTTCCTTCGAACTTTTCAAAAATTATTTTTCATAAAGCTGTTTAGCCGTTAAACTCGGTTGACTGTGATCTATCACCCGTTTAATATACATATCAATCAATAAATAAATTATATACCAGAATTTTTCATATTCCTGTTCCTGTATCTTTATCTTTTGTTTATTATTTATATAGATCTTGATGAAGACTTCATGACCATGGTTCAGGAACTTGCCACAAAAGTTTTACATCCAAAAAACCTTGTCATCAAAAAAATTGAAGATGAAACGTTGACTGGATATCAAATACTTGAACTGATGTCTACAGTTAGTCATTGCTTCAATCAGGGACAACTGCCAGAAATCAGGACATTATATGAGGTGATTAAATGGTTTCGATGTTGTATATTTAAATGAATCTTTGTCTTGGTGAAAACGTGACTAGTTGGATTGACTATTTGGGTTGAAAATCTTCAGAAGAAGCTTATCAACTAGAATAAGAAAAATATTTGAATTTATATTTTACAGTTTTACACCATTAGATATTTTACGTAGAAAAAAAATTGCGTTGATTTCAGAACTTATACAAATGAATTTTCCATCTACATTGATATAGTTTGATATTGATATTTTTCTCCAAATGTGAATTTTTTATACTTATTTTTATCACACAGGAAGCTGCTCATTCATTCAGCACAAAAGTAATGCAGGCATCTATTGAGAAGTATAAAGTTGAAATTGAAAAGGTAAGTTAGGGCCTTAATTCGGTTTTATCCCCCAATAAATCTTAGCACGATCTTATTGGACATGCGGTGAGCATATTGATAGTTTTACTTAATTATCGTCTTCACTGTTGTGTTTATGCAAATCTACGATAAGTAAGAAGCTACTATTTTTCCGGTGCGCATTGCCTACTCAATTTATTAACCCCGTGGAAAAAGGGAATGCTCACGAATATTGTGTTTCTCGGCATATAACAGGACAATACATTTGAAATATTTATTAATTGAAAATTGAAGAACGGTCCCTACAACGCTGTTCCATATTTTGTTTTATACTTTGTTTAGTTTAGGCCTATGCAACGCGAAGTTTTTTCCAACTAATGTCTGTTGTAGCTTGAGTCATTAAATATTCGCAATTGGTTAGTTATATTGTTCTAACATACTATTCTAATTTGTATATTAGAGTTGCAAGCAAGCTATCCAGGAGTGGAAACTGGCAAATTATCACGAGAAAGCAATAAAAAACGCAAAACGAAATTTTCAACAAAATGCAACATTCGGAAGTGATGATATCGAAATCAATTATTTGAGACAAACTGAATTAACCTGCAATGAGTATTTGTCAGAGATGAAGATTCGAAATTCAAGTTTATTGGTAAGATAAAAACAGCATTCCGAAAAACATAGTGCTTTGAACTCAACATTGAGCCAACGATTAAAATACACGAGATAACACTTTTGCACCACTTTTCTATTATCCTAACCACTACTTTATTGTGACTTCATTCTGAAATCTTTTTACACACCACTAATCAAAATTTTATACCTTTGGCATGTTGGTCGTTGCAAACAACGTTAAAAAGCTAAATACGTTTCCCTTATTCATTGCAGTTTGTTCATGTTATTTATCTCACTGTTTGCAGAGAAAACAAACTGAGGTCGTGTCAGGGGCTAAAGAAAGATGTCTGTCTGACTATCAAAGTAACATGAACAAGGTATCTTCTTAGTAGAACTCCCTTGGAATTTTATATTATCTTTTACTATTTTTTTCATATTTGCAAATAATGTTGACACATCAATTAAATCGTAACAGTTTTTTAGGAGCCAGGGTAATCTGATAAGTACAATATGTCATTTCAGAGTGCAGAAATTTAATCCAAATAATCCTGTAGGTTTCAAAATGCGATACGCTGATACACGGTTTTGAAAGCCAGTTTGGGAAATAGATACTAAACTAAAAACAATAATGTTTCATGTTGCACCCTATTTCTATTTATTTTTGTTTTCAAATTATTCTATCTATTTTGGCGAAAATAAATTGCATGACTCCGATGTATTATCCGTTCACTAAACACATATGCGCTTGAGTGCAAACATTTTATTTGTACGATTTTACTGACATACAAAACAATTGATTAGCAATTCAGATCTAGTGCCATCTCGTGGAATAGAATTAAATATTTATAATATAATAGTACAAATTATATTATTTCAGGATTTCAGAGATGAAGCATTGTCTCATCGCGAGCTTCAAATGTTTCATGACAAGCATCGTGAAGCAGCTCCGCAATTACTACGACGTGAAGTTGCATCTTTAAATTCTGATCATGATCAGATCTTGAAATATGATAAGGATCTTGAAAACAAAATAAAACAAAAATATCACGAGTTTCAATTGGAGAATCAGAGAAACCTCGACCTGAAAAGGGTGATATACCCTACCAATCATTTACAGATAACATTTATTCTAGGAAACAATATCCGTAAATAATCTTTAATCTGATATTAAAAATCAGTATCAGTACCAAGTATACATATGAAATACGTGGACTGGAGTAATGGGTTCCCGTTAACCGCTATCATAACTCGTTTAAAATAAGAAATAAAGATAAAAAAAAAGATGCTCAAATGTAATGGCACGAAAAAAAAGGCCAACGACCACAAAGCCCACGTCGTAGGTGGCCACGCTTGGCGACAATGTTCTCGTGAATTCAATAAAACAGATACCTTTCTGTTGAAAATCCACCGAGTACTGAAAAAAATTTTAAATTTCAAAATCGATTTTTCTTTTACTCACATTGAAATCCAATTTTTTAACAACAAAAATGTCGCCTCTACAACCAATGCCATTTAGCAAAACAGCCCATGTGGCCACTTTATTCCAGTAAGCCCAGCAAAATCTGAGAATAAATCTTATTTTATATCTTGACTTTGAAACACATCTTATATTAGATTATACTTTATTGTAGCGACAACAAGAATTGACTTTTAATGAACATGAACAGACGGTAGAAGAATTTTTACAATCGATTTGTGGGGTAAGTTTCGGTTATTCATTAAGACAAAATATATTCGATTATCTGAGGCTGATCACGTGATAAAGGGGGGGGGGGGGGGACTCGGGCACGTCATCAACAAACCGCCAGAGAGACAAGGCTCAGTGATAGACGCGATTTTGGGTTCGCACTTGCAAATTGAATGGCCCGCTAATCGACTTGGCTTGCGACTCGGGGGTTACTTACAGTCCACCACTGTAACTTAATAGACGTTGAGTTGTTATTATCATAGTTATTATCACACGTGTAATTTTTTGTTAATACACAGTATTATCAAAGTGACCTGGCAGAGTGGGAAAGACACATAAAACATCAATTTAATCGGAATTTATAGAAAAAAATGAAGCGGTATGTATATATATAACTCTATTTTAGTCTAGTGTTACAGTGACTTTTCTTCTTTGGTAATTTTAATGCAAGCATATATATATAATTTCAGTTCAACTCCACGACGCACGAAGTGGTCGAACTTTCTCTTCCATTTATGTGGATACTGCTCACCAAGATGATATGAGAATAAACAATATATATATGTTATAATTTCAAACAGATAATTTTAAACAACTAAATTCTACAAGTTTAAGCCCTAAACAATCTCATATAGGTGCACGTAACAGGTAGTTTACCCGTTTTGCGCATTTAACATTCCTACAAGCGCTGAAGCGTCTATCTAATTTGCTTTCTATTGGTTCTCTATCACACGCGCCCCTTTTTAAAGCAAGGTCAGGAGCACACACTAAAATACAAATAAAAAGAATACCTGAGCGATAATACCAGCAATCACTGAAGTGTAAAAAACAACAGACACTATAAAGAAATATAGACATATAAACTACGTGTTAACAAATCCCGATTGACGTAAGCATATATGCAGTTAAGGTCAAAACACCAGTAAAACAGATATAATGTGTGCTACAAAACTAGAAAAACTTCCGGTTTAGAGTTATTGTTTTCTGGATAGAAGTCCGACGATAACATATGGAAGCCTATAATCAATTGAATGTCATGAGCTGATAATTTTTTGTAGTTACAAATGTTGAACGTTTCGAAAAAATACACCTAATTTTTACATCTGTAAATATACCATGCAACACTTAGACAAAATATTGAGCTAAATTTTTGATCAAGTCATTTGCTACATTTTTTTCTATCTATCATTGTTCGTGCACTTTATATTATTAAATTTTACTTTGGAGATTAAATTATTTCTCCCCCAAACAGCGGTCACTAATAATTAAGTAGCTATGCTATTCGGAAACGGTTAAATATTTTAATTCTGAATTTGGCATTGCCTACCCAATTATTCTCATTTCGGGAAAAATGATAAACATTTCTTTCAAATTATGGATCGTTAAATCAGTGGTGTCAAAATTGCAAGATTTATTACTCTTCTCACTGGCCCCATGTTGTCGGCTTTTATACAAATTCGTTCATTCTATTCGGCAGCTTTACATCTGAATGCAGCTCATTTTACTTTATCTTTTAAGTTAAAACTAATTTTATTATTTTGCGCTGATTGTATTTTATAAGACTTTATATACATAAATATGTATACTTTAAAACTACAATTCGTGCATAAGCTCAACTTTAAAAACATATTTTTTCCATTTATACTTTTTGTATATTGTTTTTACGGCGCTCCAGTTGTACAGGTACCAATATGGAGATAACTAATTTCGTTCACCTATTTTAAATCAATTTGTGTAAAGGGACTGAAACCCATGGACAGGAGGTATATTCACTTGGCTAACACAGACAGTCCAGACTAGTAATAGAACTAAAACAAGGAAAATCGGAATAAACTTAAGGCCTAATCCCAACCTGGTACACATACTACGGGAGCACCGTTTTCATTAAACATAACTTCTATTTCAATTTATATAATTCATAGCATATTTTCCAACATTTCACATGAGTTTAAAAATCATAGCATCTGTATAGTTGATGTTCAATTTTTTTCCCCAAACATAGGTTAAATTGGTCACAGTTATGTAGTAAAGTATTACGCAATACTCTGATTATGCGATATTCATTGCAATCTAACTTGTATTATTGTTTTCAGTTTCCAGGTTTACTTTTCATATATTCTAGTAATGGTTAGAAGTTTTTTTGATTGGTGAACATTCAGTTGACGTTAAGTACAACCAGGCGTTTGATCAAATTCTACGACTTTGCAAACTTCCGTTTTTGATTTCAATAGGTATGTAATTTCAGAATAAAATCACCACAATCATCTCTTACAATTACCTAACAAATTCGACTAATTTCAATTCTAAGATATGATTGCTGATGTTCGATAAATACAAATATCTACAGCTATCAAAAGCTGCATGAAAAGATTTTTTGCTTTACATATGTGTCTTTGGGCAAGCTCAATGGCACTTAGCTGATGAATGCTTAAATGATATTATATTGCTAATATTCTCCATTTTCTTTCATAGGCTTCCCATATAACTCTATCATTTACAATATTTAAGCTCACTAATTTTTTTAGTTAACCATACTCACTTTATTTCATACAGAAATGGAACCCGTAGCTATTGCCCGAATAACAGATCAGGGAAAATTTATTGTTGATAATGATAAACTGGTTGAAATATTCGGGTCACTTAAAGATAAAGATCTATCAATCATTTCTGTCGCTGGTTCATACAGAACTGGAAAATCCTTCATGCTGAACTTTTTTATCCGATATCTTCGTGAACACGGGGTGAGTGCAAATACGTACGTTCACTATAAGAAGACTATCACGAAATGTTTTGCAAAATTGAGATTAAAAAAAATAAATTTACCCATGTAGTAAAGAAAAAACTGCAAAAGTTTCACTTTTATTAATTTTAATCATTTTCAAGTGGGAAAATAGCAATTGGCTAGGATCTGATGATAAAAAATTACAAGATGGATTTGATTGGAAACGAGGTTCACATCCTCATAGAAATGGAATCAATGTTTGGCCAGAGATATTTGACGTTCTTTTGGAAAATGGAAAAAAGGTAGATTATCATTTAAAATAATAAATTGTTTTATCACACATTTTTAGTAGAGGGTTAATAAAAATTGATAGTTTTTTGTCGTTAAATGAGCAGGTTATATTTAATTGCTTTAAAGTGTTATACACTTTGAACCACTCCCACTGGAATATCTATAATTTGGAGAATTCAAATTCACCTTGAATTTCTATGCCTGAGCATGTTAAGCATTAATCCACTTAACAATGTCGGATAACTTAGAATCCCGACCGAAACCTGATTCTGTATCTATAGCCATTGAAAGACACAGTTTTAATATCCTCTTTAGCTTTACCACTTTTTTCAATTTTCTAAGACTGCATGTATAACAATGAATTAAACTACATTTTTGCATGACCAAGTTGAAAATGTTATTTTTCAAGCAAATTTGTTTTATTTAATCATTTGATCATTTTTGAACAGGTTTCGGTGATGATTGTGGACACTCAAGGTCTGTTTGACATTGATAACACGCCAGACACTAATGCTAAGATCATGTCAATCAGCACTTTACTTTGCTCGCATCAGATTCTGAACATTCAACACCTGATCCAGGAAAGAGATCTGGAACATTTGCAGGTAAATTGAAGTAAATTGTGCTTTAGTTAAACAGAGTTAAATTAGACGATCACGTGTGGCTTCCGATATTTTGAACCTTATGGAAATGGTTTTCAAGAAAATTGAACAACTCTTCGTTGTCGTTTAATCATTACGTGGCCTCTTATCAAACATAGATTTATTCGAAATCTTGATTAACTGAATGGAAATCCGAGAGACGATATGAGTTGCGAGACTATAGGCGAACATTATAAACTACTTACTATCCTACTCTCTACCAGCGCCGGATTAACCATTAAACAATATAAGCACGTGCTTAGGGCACCAAGCAAAGAGGGGCACCACAGAAATGTTAGAGCAGAATTTTATATCGTTTATCGGTGTTTATTAAATATTACGGGTTCACCAGGCGACTCAAACTTCAAAATTTTCGCTCATTTTCCGTCTTCAAGTATCATATTAATCTTCTTTATTAAAAATAAGCACTGAAACTTTTTTAGGCAAGAAATGGGCCTATGAGTCGTTTTCTAAAATTGTTGTTGTTTTTTCTTCCTAGTATTCTCATTGTGGCTGCATTTTAGTTTTAAAAAAATCTTTTTCCTTCAACAATTGAACCAATGAACTATTTACACTATGTGGCGGTTCCACGATCGCATTTCAACGATCTAGAGGTCAGCGAAGTCGGGAGTTTTTTGATAAGGTAGACCAGGGTGGTCCAAACCCTGTCATGCTGATACATTCCGTGCGGCTCATCGAACAATTTTAGCATATATTTGTATCTAATGGAGGAACGTTTTTGAGTTGTTTTAGCTATTCCAACTGGGATTGGGATCCCGAGATTCAAACCCTTAATAACGCTTTGTGCCTAGTATTCTAGTAAAAACACTCCTCTGTTTTTAAGCGTCGGCCATGTGACAGTAGTGAAGAAGCGTAGTGCCGACTTAACGCCGCGCAATCCAGTTTATTTTTCAGGTGAGTCCCGAAATACCAACTTAGACGGACTTGGTTGGTATTTGGCGATGGCACTAAGCTTGCTCACACTGCAAGTTTTCAAATTACTCAATATAACGATTCGTAATAAAATGAGTCACAAGTAGGGTTGTCACTTCTGGATACCTTTTTTTCCGAATCGAATCTCGAATCAAAAATTTTCGAATCGAATCTTTCCAAATCTGATTCCATCAAGATTTTTTTTTATTGCATGCGTATGTTTGCTCAAAGTCACAAATAAGCTTAATGCTAGAAGGGAAAGACTTGAAAATGGAATAAGCTATATAGCAAGGTTGATAAAGGTTTTTCAGTGAATAAGCCACACTTATTTCCATCATGATAAAAAAGATGTAGGCCATAGATATCACCAATAAATGCATTGATGAAAAACTTGCTGTTGCAACGTATCTGTGAGTCTTACAATACCGAGTTAATATTGTGTCATACCTGTATCAGGACTGAGGCAATTTGATGGAATTCATATGAGAAAATGAGCAGGGAACAGTTGTACTGTTATGTCATGAACACAGTAACAGCACTGCTGTCCCTAGTCCCACACCAGTATTTGTGACTGTGGTATTTCACTTCTTGTTATATTGAATTAAGGCCGGCCCTAACAAGAGTGTTTATCTTCAAAATTTTAGTACAATATTTCATATTTATGCTAGCAGCATAGAGTAATACGACAAAAACATTCTAATTACATCTAAATTACTATAAATGGGAAATGCTTGCAAGAATATGATTGAAGACGATAAAATTAACCACGATTAAATTAAATTAATTTCGAGAAAAACAATCGTTCAACCGACTACGACTGCGAACAAAAATTTTCATAATTATTAGAGACAATATTATTTGTGGCTTACATCGTTATTGGCTAACTCGGGCTCCATTATTACCGTGGCCTATCCCTAATTTCTAAATTCGAAAAGTAGAAATGTGCATAATGGACGCCGCGCTAAAGTAAATATTAGCACAGTATGCCTGATCTGGTATAAAATCTGGCACGTGTTGATGTAAAACAGTGCTCAAGTTGCCATTCCTCAAGTATTATATACTCCCACCTGCCCGTTATGATATTTTAGGGATAAATTCGTTATTTCAAGTAAAATTTATAAAAAGACTAAAAAATGCTTATTTCGAAATTCTCCGAATTCATAAATTAGGTCGATAAAAAACATTTTAAATTAGGCAACATATGGCAACGAAAAATAACTGGATCAATAACGTCCAGGTAGTAATTAGTATTCAAAACCCCAATCAATAAGGCTAATGGGATCGATAGTACCATTCTAATCCCCGGAATATAGATTTATAGATCAGATCCTTATACTATTCTTTAAAATTCTGATTATGTTAAAATCCTGGGAGAGACATAATTATCGTTCGTTTTCTGTATATAAGGATCGCTTTCTCTGTAGTATTATCCAGTCTTGTAAGATGTAGACTTGTAGTAACCAGTCTTGTAGTACAACCTTGATGTTGTGTATACTGTACAATAAACAAAAGAAGAATTGTCGTAATTGTTGTTTGTCTACTATCATCTATTGTCTACCGGGGGCGAGCGCCTACAAAACCAAACATAGAGGTGAAGAACAATTCGTGCAAGTTAAAAGCTAAGAGCCTGTGCTCCGATTAAAAGGCTACGAAAGATCTCGCACGCCGGCTAAAGTTATATTTAGGACCACAATCCTAAATTAATTGGTGATCCCGATTATTGGATGCAACCTTCTCGAGGCAGTCAGATCAGCAAGCAACAGCGCGTATCAAAGAAGTCAACAACAACACATACGATGGTACTGAAATGACGATAATTAGAGCATGGTAGAACAAAGGTACGGACAGGAAATGAATCAGACGACGGATAAACCCAACTCCACGCAATGAAAGATATGAACTTCTGTTCAAAATCAAAAATACAAGGTGAAAATTGTATCAAACTAAATTAAACTGATGATGTAAAACTACGAGAGAGCTTTATAAAAGGCAAGGCTGAATGGCGTGTTTTTACTTATTGTTATAAACAACAAAGCAAGAATAAATGATCGAAAACTGATCAACGTAAAATTATTATTCATTAGTTAGTTTGATTTAGTTGCATACGATTTTTTCTTACTGGGACATTCGTTGTACTTCTTCTGTTTCTAATGTATAGTCTTTCTTCAATTTTTTTGGCGATATTAATTCGGATCTTAATTTCTATGAATTGCTTGAAAACAGACTTAGAGTGTTTACTCAAATTGCAAATAATCTTATGGCCAATTGATTATGCAATGAAGGTGAATATTCGATTTCAAATTTCTTGTCATTTATATTGATTAAAATTTGACGGATTCAAACTATTTCGATTAGATAGATTTCATTAACACTGAACTATTTTTAAAAGATGACTCAAATGAGTCACTCTTTTAAGCGTTTATAACATCGTCATAAGAACGGTGCATAAATGAGCTCATCAATATATTCGTTAAACACGAGTATATGACAATTTTTTAACAAAAAAGCGCTATTTTTTCTTTTTTTCAAAGCCCGAAGCTGGCATTATCAACATATCGCAACAAGCGAACTTACAAAGCGCTATTTATTCAAACACATGAGCTATCAGTAATTCAGTGTGACGAAGTATATTGGATTGAAAGATCAGTTTTATCTGTCGAAATCAAATTTAAAAAACAATAAATCGCCTTTTCTTTTCTAATCTATACTCTTACTGTCATCCTACTTCCCTCTCATTATTAAATCTTCTCGTCCCATATTTTTGAATTTCATTGTGTATAATTTTCGATTGTGTTTTTTTGTCATTTTCAATGTGTTTTTGAAATTTACGTATGTTAGGTGACAAATATGCCCAAAACCCCGATTTCCAATCTAAAGGGCGTAGATATATTTAGGGATAAATTCGTTATTTCAAGTAAAATTTATGAAAAGACTAAAAATTGCTTATTTTGAAATTCTCCGAATTCATAAATTAGGTCGATAAAAAACATTTTAAATTAGGCAACATATGGCAACGAAAAATAACTGGATCAATAACGTCCAGGTAGTAATTAGTATTCAAAACCCCAATCAATAAGGCTAATGGGATCGATAGTGCCATTCTAATCCCCGGAATATAGATTTATAGATCAAATCCTTATACTATTCTTTAAAATTCTGATTATGTTAAAATCCTGGGAGAGACATAATTATCGTTCGTTTTCTGTATATAAGGATCGCTTTCTCTGTAGTATTATGCAGTCTTGTAAGATGTAGTCTTGTAGTAACCAGTCTTGTAGTACAACCTTGATGTTGTGTATACTGTACAATAAACAAAAGAAGAATTGTCGTAATTGTCGTTTGTCTACTATCATCTATTGTCTACCGGGGGCGAGCGCCTACAAAACCGAACATAGAGGTGAAGAACAATTCGTGCAAGTTAAAAGCTAAGAGCCTGTGCTCCGATTAAAAGGGTACGAAAGATCTCGTACGCCAGCTAAAGTTATATTTAGGACCACTATCCTAAAATATTTGCTAGAAATAATCCGAAATGTTTTATTCTCGTAATTTGGAGTGCCGCATAAACGCATTCAGCAGTTTTAACGCCGCCGAAAACAACGATTAACAAACGTTCAATGTTTTCCTTTCGGTCCTGTAATTTGGTGTTATTTGGAGTGCCGCATTAACGCATTCGGCAGTTTTAACGCCGCTGAAAACAACGATTAACAAACGTTCAATGTTTTTCTTTCGGTCCCATAATATGGTGTTATTTGGAGTGCCGCATAAACGCATTCGGCAGTTTTAACGCCACCGAAAACAACGATTAACAAACGTTCAATGTTTTTTTTCCGGTCCCGTAATTTGGTGTATTTGGAGTGCAGCATAAAAGCATTCGGCAGATTCAAAGCCGCCGAAAACAACGATTAACAAACTTTCAATGTTTTTTTTTCAGATGCGCAAAATACAACGGTAATACTCGGGAATGAACTTTAAAATAACTGAAGGCTTTTTTCTTTAAAAGAACGCCATCCATTCAACATAATATTAGTCTGATTAGAATGGTAAACTCTCGTTGTTTATTAAATTTAATGTAAGTAAACTCGCGATATTTCGATCAATTTTGGGTTTTCACCGACTTGCGGTCCGCGAGACCTCCTCAAAAGTTTTTGCGGTCCTTCAACCTGCAACTTTGAACCACCCTGAGGTAGACTACTAGGTACCGGTAAAATTTCAAACTACAGTTGCAACCTGTAACCTTCGGTATTTCAATTCACGTTGAGACTGGAGGTATGAATTTTTATTGTCACACTCACTCAGGATTAGAGCTCAACCGATATATCGGCCCGATATTGCGTGTTTTCCAATATATCATATCGGCAGTAAACGGCCGATATATATATCGGCTATACATAACATTTAAGAAACCTAAAAATGTTCGTAAGAGTTGTTTTATTTACTGTTGATTGTGATTATTTTTAATGGATAATACACTTATGTGGTTTATTGTTTTTATAATTAAGTTGCACATGAGCGGGCACCAAAGTCTTCAGTGCTTAGGGCACCAAGGGGGCTTAATCTGCCCCTGCTTTCTACCAGTAGCTATTTACCTGATCTACTTGATTAAATATAATTTTCACAAACATCTGTCTGCAACATTCGCTCAGTCAATGGATCATGGCCTCTAAACCTGTTGCGAATCCATATTTAATATGTCATTTTTGCTCTCATTACATTGCAAAGTTATTGCAATGTCTGTAAATTTTCAGCTTTCTGTAGAATACGCCTGTGCCGCTGTTGGCCTTCAGAGAGAAAAAAGGAAACAAAGAACAACGTTTCAGGTCTTTATAAATTATCCCTTATATTTTTCATTACCTTACTTTGCACTATAATATCTTTCTGCTCTGGCGTTATCACACACCATCAAAAATACTATAGAAAATATTACATGATATGGCGATATAACGACTGAGCAAAACAATGTTAGAATTCCATATACGTTATTGTAGTTTAGTACACTACGTACACTCTGTCCATATCATAGTAATAACATGATATTTTTGATATGGTACAAGACTAAGTTATCGTTGAACTTTGTGATTCTTTTTGATAGAAATTGACATTTCTAATACGCGACTGGGTTAACGATGATGAATACCAATATGGGAATGGAGGTGACGAGTACCTGGATACAACACTAAAAGTCAAATCAAAATCAAATACCGTGAATGATGTGAAAGAGTCAGTGCATCGCGCTTTTAACGAAGTCAAAGGCTTTCTCATGCCGCTTCCAGGAAAAAATGTTTTGAAAGGAGAAAAGTCCACTCTTACTAATGCAGGTGGGATTTTCTACTTGCTATGTAAGTTTTTATTTATTTAAACCTTTATTTAACACCACTTGCTATTTATGATGTTATGAAAAACATCAAGGTAGATACCATTAGTGCCTTAATGGTATGATACAGCTGTATTTGTGTCAAATGTCTAGAAAAAAAAGGCATATTCTCTTATTCTATTTGCTATAGAATATGTAACATTCAGCATTATTAGTAAGTCATGAAAAATAAATCTTGAAGAAATTTAAAAATAGCACCCGTTAAAGCAGTTGAATATAAAAGGTATTTATTATTATTTTTATCAGTAATAATTTTAGTAATTCCTTAAATTGATTTTGTTTGTTTCGTTAAGATATCGAACCCATTTTCCGTGAGTACACAATGCAACTCACTGAAGCCGTATTGCATCCAAGGAATCTGATTTTGAAACAAATGTTTGGAAAGCCTATTTCTGCTAGTGCTTTGATGAATCTTCTTGGAGCAGTTAGTAATTCATTTAGAGATGGAAAGCTTCCAGAAATAGGGACAATGCTCGAAGTATGCATTACAGTAAATAAATAAATGATTCACAACACAATCGAAAGCCGTTAAAGGGAATGTAATTAATTCAAAATATGGAAAAACATTTTCAACTTTACAGATTGAATCAAAGCAAACAACTGTATTGATGCTGTCTACCACTTTGCATTTGCCTTGAGCTAACTTTTTAGAATAATACTAGTAATCGATTAATAGTAAATGTTTTGTTCCAAAGATAAATAAATTCAAACAACACTTTATTATAACCGAATGGTCGTTGTTATCTGTCATCTTTGCAATACAAATTGATACAGAAAGGTAATCAAGTGTTTATAACGTCGTGCATAGTACTTCTGTAATGTAATTCAAACTCAGCAAATAAATGAAACTATAAATATTGCAAAATTTGTAATATTTCAGAACACAGTTCGAGCAAATAATGATGAAGCTGTTCAAAGAGCTGTACGCAGATACAAAGAAGTGATGACAGAGGTAAGAGAAATGTCTGAAAATAATATTGGAAACCAATAATATATAAAACTAGTAATGCAATTGTTAACTGTTACCACTTTTTTAGCTTGTTCACGTAGAAATTGCCGACACCGATGTTCTCCGTGAATTTCACGATAATGCAGTTGACGAAGCCACGATAACATTTTATGAAATATCAACATTGGGAGAAGAGAGTGACAGAGATAAAGCACATCAACATGCAATAAAAGAATGTGAAGATTATTATAGAATTGTGGAGCAGGAGAATGAAACGAGAAAGGTGCTAAATTCGCTTTTCATTACTTTTTTGTCTCAAAAAAAAGGTTCTAGTGAATCGAATATGTTATGTATTTTTTAATTTTTTTATTCTGATTGTTTTATTCATGTATTTACTATCGTAATACAACATACAAGTCTACTTTTGAAAACACATGTGGCATTGTGAGGTCACATGATGATTGTTGATACCGTACCCGAAACTGAATACGTATTCAAAAAACTTTGTTCTATTCTATCTTGTATCAGTCGTAGTATTTAGAATGGTTTCTAAAATGAATTTATAATAAAATACAATTTATTTTTTTCAATTTATCAAACCATTTCTGTAAGTTGAATGGAATACGACAGAATATTTTTGACAGTTTCTCTATTGAATCGATATTGCCAGGATTAGATTTCAAATAACAACCTTTGATTTAATTTTTCTTTAGACTTTGGTCAAAGCGTAAGCCGCGATCTTGTGTTTAAACCTTGTTTGGGAAAAAAAATTTGTTTTAAATCCATGCTTACCCAATCGCTCAAGTTGTAACAAATTGGTTAGAAAATGTCAAAAAGAAACATTGGGTATTTCCAAAATATTGGAAACATACGCTTGAATGACTGCCAATACATAGCCTTGGTATTTTTATTTATTTCATTTCACAGTCATAAATATAAAGAATAATATACTTTTTATAAATATCAGTGGTTTTTCGAGATTTATTTATTAATGGTAATTAAAATTATTTGATTTTGAAAAGAATTTTTTTTGGTATAATACAGTCCAAAGTAATAGAAGAAATCAACAACTTATCATCCGCCATGGAAACTCAGTACATTGAAACAATGGGAGAACATGTGAGTAGCGAATATGGCGATTGCCAATTACAATTTTCATGATATTCTTGATGTTATTTTTAATCTATTGTCACTGAGTGACACAAAATATTGTATAATAAATTTAGTACGTGGTATAAACACCATCTGATAACTCATTAGTAATGTCGTGTTATCCAATAAACTTTAATCAAGGATAAACGGTGCTATAAAGTAAGTTTTCAATTCAGGATCTCACAAAACTGTTGAAAAAAGATCTTGAAAGAATAAACAAGACATTGAGTGATTCAATATTGCTGGAATTCGATAGGCAAACTAAAGACTGGCTACGAGTGATGCCGAGTGTGATCAAAAACAAACGGAAAGCCTTAGAACAACGTTTATCTACTAATTACAAAATGTTTGAAAAGAGAAGGTTATACGCTGAAGAAAAGAAAGAATTGGAAAAGGTATGACGCATTATTAAAATATCAATTTATTCTAGCTCGAATGTTGTCAGCATGGATTAACCTAATTACTCGACTCCGCCGCATTGGGGCATTTTACTATCGGTGTGGGTGAAAATGTGTAACTCAATTGCACAAGTATATATTTGCGCAAACTCGGCATCACCTTTGAAATGATTGATGACTTTTAATCGAATCACATATTTTCAATACATCATAGTTACATATGTGTTGAAAATACATTAACATACATGTCTCAATATTTTTCAGCAAATTGATAAACTTAGTATCAACGAAAAAGCAAGTGACGTTTTGTCCAAGTTTCAAGAAACGTTTTCTAAGGTAGGTGTTTTGCTTGGTGCTTCAAAAATTAAAAAAATAATATTAATAATAATCGAAAAATAAAATAACTAACAAACGTAGACACATCTCTAAATCCTTAATTTTTGAAACATTTTATATTTTTTTTAAGTATGCAAACGAATACTGCATGGACATTGAAAATCTTCAAAAGACCGAGTACAAAGAAGGTTTGAGACAGTATGATTCACTAACCAGGAATTATGATGACGTTGCTACAGTTAAAAATACTCGTGAAAAATTGTCTAGAAACATGGAACAGTACTTTACAAATCATGTGAAGCGTGTTAACACTTTCGATGCCAAGATCAGTTTTTTCAATTTTACCGTTCCGTGCCAAGGTGAAAACGAGAGAGTTCTCTCCTATTCATTCTCTCTCGTATTTAGTTTTTGATTCATCGGGAAAGGGGCGAACCCAGCGGTGTCATCAGTTATCGTTCATTCCGACACTTCAGTCGTAGGTGAAAGAACTCACCTACACACGCGTATCTTGTCGGAATTGCTCTCTCATGCTATTATAACATAAGTTGATGATAACTTGTCTTGATCTCTCATTGCGATAAAGATTCAATTCGAACATTTTATTCAGCAATCAGAATCATTTTATTATACGAAAATATCAAATTTGAACAAAGAAAACAAAATCGTTTACTAGCATAAAAATATATCCTTCATTCGCTATATATTCCAATAACATTAATAATGGCCAATTATTGTCACTCACAAGGATAACATATTGCAAAATAAACAAAGTAGTCACATTGCATATTCATACAACTGTAACACATATGTATCTCTATGACCTCGTCACCATTACAATACGTCGAAAGTATTGAAATCGGCCTCTTATCTTGCCATAGTAGTGCGAGTAATTGTCCTTTTCGTATTGAGATGATTTCCCTTTTCTTTAGTTTTGTTTTTATTTCTGCTGGAAGTCCCTTCCGGTTTGCCGTGACTGTTCCCGTTATCGATGTTTTCCTTCGCTGCAATTCCTCGGCTAATGCGACAGAGTTATAGAGTCTAAATTAAAAATGAATATTATTAAAAATTGGTTGTGATAAAACAGTTTATGCAATTGATTGATATATCCGACAATGATTCGTTATCTAAAATAGAACGCAGTATGGCGCCGAGACGTAAATTATCTAATTTGTCTTATCAATACCAAATAATCAACATACCTATCAACAAATACGTGATATCCTCTATCCAGATGACTTTCCTCGTTCAATAAGCAGCCATGGCGTACTGATTACGTAGCTACGCAATAGCGATCACGTGTCTGGCGCCACGAAGACGGGACTACGTGCAGTCGAGACGACTTGCGTAGCAAATTGCGTGAGATGACAATTTCGGAAAATCGTGTTCTTGACAGATCAACTGACGAATTTCGATGAAGCTTTAAACCTTTTTATTATGTCAACTGAGAGACACCGGATGCGTATAATGAATATTGAAATTGCATTTGGAAATACTTCATTTGCACGCCAATATTAGTTCAAATATCCACACAAATAAGTATTTGCTCGCTATAAATACCAGATTGAATGAAATGTTTACCGAGGCAAGTAAAGACTTCGAATTTCATCGTTTACTGACTGAACCCACGAATCGTTTACTGACTGAACCGATGAAACCATGATTGCATATAAAGGAAGAGTTTCATTCAGAAGATATATGCCAAACAAACCGGTTAAATGGGGCATCATTGCTAGATCGATTGCTGATTCAACAACTGGATACATTTTCAATGTAAAAATAGATTATGGTAATCCAAACTTGGAACAACTTCCACCCGGCGTCACAAAAACTTCGAATTTAGTTTTGCAACTAATGGAAAGTCATCTGGATAGAGGATATCACGTATTTGTTGATAGGTATGTTGATTATTTGGTATTGATAAGACAAATTAGATAATTTACGTCTCGGCGCCATACTGCGTTCTATTTTAGATAACGAATCATTGTCGGATATATCAATCAATTGCATAAACTGTTTTATCACAACCAATTTTTAATAATATTCATTTTTAATTTAGACTCTATAACTCTGTCGCATTAGCCGAGGAATTGCAGCGAAGGAAAACATCGATAACGGGAACAGTCACGGCAAACCGGAAGGGACTTCCAGCAGAAATAAAAACAAAACTAAAGAAAAGGGAAATCATCTCAATACGAAAAGGACAATTACTCGCACTACTATGGCAAGATAAGAGGCCGATTTCAATACTTTCGACGTATTGTAATGGTGACGAGGTCATAGAGATACATATGTGTTACAGTTGTATGAATATGCAATGTGACTACTTTGTTTATTTTGCAATATGTTATCCTTGTGAGTGACAATAATTGGCCATTATTAATGTTATTGGAATATATAGCGAATGAAGGATATATTTTTATGCTAGTAAACGATTTTGTTTTCTTTGTTCAAATTTGATATTTTCGTATAATAAAATGATTCTGATTGCTGAATAAAATGTTCGAATTGAATCTTTATCGCAATGAGAGATCAAGACAAGTTATCATCAACTTATGTTATAATAGCATGAGAGAGCAATTCCGACAAGATACGCGTGTGTAGGTGAGTTCTTTCACCTACGACTGAAGTGTCGGAATGAACGATAACTGATGACACCGCTGGGTTCGCCCCTTTCCCGATGAATCAAAAACTAAATACGAGAGAGAATGAATAGGAGAGAACTCTCTCGTTTTCACCTTGGCACGGAACGGTAAAATTGAAAAAACTGATCTTGGCATCGAAAGTGTTAAAGCTTCATCGAAATTCGTCAGTTGATCTGTCAAGAACACGATTTTCCGAAATTGTCATCTCACGCAATTTGCTACGCAAGTCGTCTCGACTGCACGTAGTCCCGTCTTCGTGGCGCCAGACACGTGATCGCTATTGCGTAGCTACGTAATCAGTACGCCATGGCTGCTTATTGAACTTGTTCATCCGACACAAAATCGTAGGATTGCATATTTTGCTATAATTATGGTTATACAATAGCTACGGAAGTAATTCAATATGAGCTGAAAGCATACGAGGGGCTCTGTGTTATTGGTAATATATTTCCCACTAAATTACTATATCTCGGATCATATCTCACTGACAAGTAGAAAAATATATGTTCCGAATAATATCAATTTCTCACTTTATTATTTCAAAATGTAACATATCACCTCTCAGGACGATAAAATTTGCTTTCGTTGCAGATGTCCGTCAATCCGTTACCCAAAAATGATAAAAAATTAAAAAAACGTTCAAAAATACCAACATTTTGAATCATTTCATCGTCCTGCCAATGAGACGACGATCATGCATATAAAAATATTCGAATTATTTCCCGGTTTAGTAATGTTTTTCTACATCTTCGTAACATGATTGATAATATTATCATCTCTCCTCACACCTTTCAATCATTTCACCGTAAAAAGTTGAAACCGTGTGTTGGCGTTAGTCGGTCTCGTACAAATTTTTGATGATAATTTGCGGCTAATATGTACCTCGGCCATGCTAAATAAGTTGATAATTTACTTCATGGCAGACCCTCCTTCCATCTTGGTATTTCTTGAATGACGCGATTGGCTGACGACGTCATTCTTTCCCCCCAACTTGACAACAAGAGAGAGAGAGAGAAGAAAAAAGACGGCAAATACCTGAACTCGACCTTCATCTATCTATTAAACTTTTTCCTTTTCGAATGACGTATATATACGTCATTTTGCATTGATGGCACGGAACGGTTGGCGCCAAATGACGTATATATACGTCCTTGGCATCGAAAGTGTTAATGAAAACAACAAGGTATTGAAAATTAAGAAATTAATATTTGTTTTTCTACATACATGTCATTTTTAAAATCTCATTGTATATCTCGATTATGTTTGAGTTTTCAAATTCATTTTAACGTAAAAAAATACAAATATACAAATAAATTATCTAAACCCCAATCTGAATCTATTACTTTCCCCTAATTTGAATATATCTCTTTCCTGTTTCAGACATACGGTACTTCTTTCGTGGCCCATTCTCATTACGTCAAAATTCTTGTGGCCCGTTGCCATTTTAATATAAAGGGGAAAACTACAAGAAAAATCGAAATGTTTGTGCAAAAATAGATACTTTCCCTTTAATAATTAGACTGAAAATTACCCTTCAGTAGTAAAAACAGCATCATTAAATTGGTGCTACAATCGAAATTAAGGTTGGTGATACAAATAAAACTAGCAATTTTTAATAGTTTTGTGGCTCGCCTCAAAATCTTTCAGTGGCCCAGCAATGGGCCATGACACACTAGTTGATAAACATTGGTCTAGTCATTTTAATATTAGAGTGTATCTAAGCTGTTTGCAATCTGTTTTGAAATTTGTGAATTTGTGTAGTATTGCGTATATTATCAACATTCTGGTGATGAACATAAAGTATAATTGCTACTAAAATTAATTGTGATATGCCTGGATGTAATTACAACATTTGAGTTGTTTTCATATTTATTGTTGTTGACAGAACAAAGTTTGATAAAAATAGTTTATTGTAAATATAACTGAAATATAACCCATTTTATTTTTTCTAGAGAGACTTAGGATTGAAATATGGACAACACGTTGAAAATGCAGTGAATGAATATGATCGACTGATGAAACAGGTAACTTAAACAAAGATCCAGATATGAAGAATCATTTTTAAAAAAGAAAAAATGTCACACACAGAGTCGTATTTTCCAAAATAATATTTGGAGCTTGCTTTGAAATCGTCCTGTCGCGCTCTCTACTTCCACCCCCAGTCCAGTTTTTAAGAATTGGTAACAAGGTAACATATATTTATCAAAAATTAATTGGCCGATACATGAATTGTTCTAGGTCAAGTGTGGCTGCACCAATATATTCTGAATATATTAAAATTTTTAAAATCTTAGTTGAATAACCTTCAAATTGAAAATTTGTTATTTGTACAAAATTTTAATAATTCAAAAGATAAAATAGACGAAGATGAAAATTTTGATAATGTTTATTTGTATTTATTATTCGTGTTGTTCATTATTTGTTAAAAAAAAAATTGTATGTTAGTGTGAACTCAACTTTTCTATTAATTATGAGTATTTTCTTATGATATATTTGAATAGAAATATCACTTTAAACTCGAGATTTATGTATCAAAGATGCCTAAAACTGATGAAATTCTTGTAAGCAGTTTTTTTTTTCATTTGAAATTTTTTGTGAACTATGACATTTGATGTATTCCAGATTACTTCAGATGGTAAATGGGAAATGAATAATGACTTCATACGCAAACATAAAGGATACAAGGAAGAAGCTGCGAAAGGCTTCAATAGATTAATTGCAAATATGTAAGTTTAATGGTTGTGGACAAGATATCGTATCTTTATCAGAATGCAATGAAATCTATTTGGGAAATAAAAATGGCAGTAAAAAATAATTTTGTTAACTTTTTAGGGCGTAAACTGAAGTTCTATTCCGCGAGATGGCGCCAAAGAGCGCGTCCCCAATCTTATTTATGATATGCGTCCCAATGACCAAAAATTTGTAGAAAGCAATTTTGTACTTTAGGGTTGTTTTGTTTAGCGGAGGGTTAAGCACTAATTATTGCTAATTGATATTATGTTTATCGTTTTCTTCCGTTATTTTTCAATAAAATAACACCAAGACCAATTTTGTAGCTTCAATAGTTACCGAGACATTCTTAATTGTATTTACGGAATTCGCAAAATCAACACTTCACTTAACGATTTCATGACTTCACGCCCTAAATATTTATGCATAAAAACTTTGAAAAGAATTGCCGACTATATTAGGCGCAGCAAAGCGACCTCCACCATGCAGGATGCGCCAGGCAATATTGTGCCAAGGATGTGGTGGATTACTAAAAATACATTCTAAGCAAACTTAAATTCATTTATAAGAATTCACGCTGTCATTTAATTAGGCTTCCCTCTGCTTGTCAGCAGGGAACCTATTGTATTCCTGTGTTTTATTATTATTATTATTTCTTAGTTTCTTTTTTATGTTATTATTATTATTTATTAATTTTTATTATTTTTTTTTCAAATTGGTCCTACAAACTTGAAATTCACCTCAAATGTGCAGAAGTTCTCAGCTAGCAATAAAATGCAAATTTTATGCATGACTGACCACGCTTTCACGCTCCAGTGAGCAAAACGCGTCTTCAGTTTTTTTGCGATTTCTCAATATTGATACATGCTATTGGGTTGAAATTCATAACAATTATTAATGGACATGTTCCGGATACGATATGTCAAGGATACGCATGAGTGACCTCGGCGATACGCTCCAGTGAGCAATATAGGATTTTACATTTTCATCTTCTCGAGAACGATACTACTTAGAGACTTGAAATTTACATCACATGCAGATAATAAGTCCCCCATCATAAATTGCAAATTTTATGCATGATTGACCATGCTTTCACGCTCCAGTGAGCAAAACGCGTCTTCAGTTTTTTTGCGATTTCTCAAAATTTATACATGTTATTGGGTTGAAATTCATAACAATGATTAATGGACATGTTCCGGATACGATATGTCGAGGATACGCATGAGTGACTTCGGCGATACGCTCCAGTGAGCAATATAGGATTTTACATTTTCATCTTCTCCTCGAGAACGACACTACTTAGAGACTTGAAATTTACATCACATGCAGATAATAAGTCCCCCATCTTAAATTGCAAAGTTTATGCATGACTGACCACGCTTTCACGCTCCAGTGAGCAAAACGCGTCTTCAGTTTTTTTTTTATGTGGGAAGCCTGTTAAAGCTGCACGCAGCTCTAGTTTTTATTAATTTTATTTATTTATTATTATTAAGTGATTCATACCAGCTTTCAAAGTTCAACACTTCGATGCTATTTATATTCCGGACAGTTTCTGACGATGCTAATTTGTTTACTTGTTTGTGTTAACTACAAACGTGTACGATAAGGATATACTTAAAGATAATGGCTCTCATTAACCATTCAAATTGAAATCATACATTAATAAACAAACATCTTTGAATCCGGATCCTTGAGTTTTATTCTTATAAATCTACGCTCATGATTGATTGATTGAACCAAGGCTGAATTATATATACCTGCTTTTATTTTTGAAACGTCATTGCATAAATACTTGTTCATTTTTGTACAACTTTAAATATTTTTTCAGAAGTCCAAGTCTTCCACACGAGGATGTGCAAGAGTACAGACAAAAATTGGATAATAAAATGGAAGAGCGATTCAATAGCATTCACAAGCAGAGCAATGACAATAACAGACATTTGCAAGAAGTGAAGGAGGTAGAACATCGTTCATTCATGAACGATGTCGTATATCGAGATTATTATTTTCTCAATCATTATCATCATTGTGACGTAAGACGGGTAGCTATAACAATGACATACTCCTGTACTTCTGTCATATTATATTTCCTCATTTGGGATTTTTTAAATAAACAAAATATTGCATAAACATTTTTACTTATTTGCAGACAATGAAATCTGGTCAATTTGTTCAGGAAGCATTAAATATTTACGAAACGGAAATGAATGAGGTAATGATATCAATACTCAAGTTTAAATTATGCCATCTAAAATCTTGACTGTCTACCATATTTTCTCTAATGATGCTGCCGCGCCCTCTTGACTCGTTGGATGATGATTCCACATGTGCTTCATTAAAACATGTTAAACTGATAAGTGTCTGAATAACAAGATGATGATTTCTAAAAATATTTATCGTTTGCATAATTTTTCAGTGAAAAAATAATAAAAAATCGCTAATCGATAGATTTTTACGAAACTAAATATTGTCAAATGTGTACATTAAAGCATACAAAAAAATTACATAGTTTTTATACCTTTTTAAGTGTTATAATTTTTTGTTCTCTTCTACATAGTTTGTTTGTTGAAACGAGGTGCAACATCGATTAAAAGTTATGAGTAGTACTGTTTTTTTTTTCATTATATTTTTTTAGCTTTTGACCAATGATGCATTCTGCGATAATCTACAAGCAGAAAATTCAAAATTTCAAAAGAAGGCTGAAGACAAATTCAAGGAGCTTTGTTCAAGCATGTGAGTGGTGAATGATATATTTTTATACGAAGCCTATTCGAGCCTATGCTTTGAACAAGGCTCTATACTTGGAACTACTGTTTTTGAACAATATAGGGAATTATCAGATGATCAGGGGTATTAAAACTACCCCCAGTGTGCGACGAAAGGCCATTATTTTCACCACAAAAACATTGAAATGGTTGGAGTTTGTCAAGTTCCATAATGCTGAAGTTAATGAGTACGGAACACTTCACAATGTTACAAACTAGGACGCAGTTCAGAATTTTCTGAAGAGACTAAAGGTTCCAAATTACGCATTTGTGCCCGCCAAAAATAATTTTATTTCCGCGCACAATATTCAATCTACTGAAATCAATCTGCAAAACGTAAATTGCACGCAACGCTGCTCCCTGTTGCCTCGACTAATGATAAAATGAAATTTTGTTATGGTAGTGTTGTGTAAAAAAAACGAAAAAATGATAAACCAATTTCTGAAAGTAATTTAATAGGAATTTGTCTCTAAAACAGTACAGTGGTCTCAGCAACTTCTTCACAATAATTAGGTTGCGCTTATTGCAAATATTGGCCACATTGACCACTGCTTAATTGCATTCGTAGCGTACTAAAATTTACTTAATTCTAGTTTCAAAATATTTTTGTGTATGTTTTGTGCAGAAGTTGTGACACTGAGAAAGATCTTAAAAATCTGAAATCATTGATGGATAATAGATTTAAAGTATTCAAAAGAAACAATGAAAACAAGAAGAATGCGGCTTGCGAAAAAAAGGTTATTAAATATTGCTTTGCATCTTGTTTAATCAACTACAAATATCAATCATTATTGGGACATAAAATGATTTTTGAAATTCAAAATCAAATGGTGGCACGCGTTTGTCATAGTGAATAACAGGGGGGTTTGGTTAATTATACAATTAAACAAGACACTACCTGAATTTTATTTCTCATAAATTATCTTGGTCACTCGACCATATTAAGTTAAGGTATATTCATTCAATTCATTATAATTTTTCAATATTCAGTCTTTTTGTTTATAACTTCTACATTTACTACTTCTTCAATGTTTTAAATTTTCAGTTTGATTGGTTTAATTTTCCTCCAGCGTTTCTTGGTGTTAAATCTGTTCATCTGATATAACATATGTCAAGAAACTTGTAAAATAAGTATTTTTTCTTCAAATTTTAGAAACGCCAAGAAATAACGGAAGCAGTAAATAAGTACTGCGAGGACATGAACACGGTGAATACATTCATTAGAGTGATTAATAGAAATTCGTCGAACACTGTGATGCCTGATATTATCGAAAACCGTTTGAGAATTGTTTTCATTGCATTCGTTTTGTTTTATCATTTTAATTTTAAAAAAATAAACCTAATAACATTCAAGTCATTATTATTATCAATGCTGTGTAACTGTATTTTGTATCATTCATACTCATGCAATTTTTTTTATTACAGCATATATCCCAAAACTGCTTTCCTCCGGACGACAAATATCTAACAAAAAAGCACGAAGAGCTCAAAGAAAAGGCTTTAACTAGCTTTGAAAGTGCTTTAGGCAGCAACAAGTGAGCTTTAAATATTCCAAATTGCAAAACAGCACTTTTGTCCAAAATTTTTGACAAGTGGAAAATTCGCAAATTGTGTGTTGAAAATGATCAAATTAATGAGTCATTCAGTAACAAACTGAATTATTATATATACATAGTACTATAATATACATAATACTATACTTGAATAATAAACAACCACATTTGTTCATTAGCAGTGGTAAATCATCATCTATCTTCTAGATACTGCTTATTATTTTTTACAGTATCAACGATGGAAATAAAAAGGAATTGGGACAACAAATTGAGGATAAGTTTTCAATATTCAAGATTAACAACAAGACTGAACAAGCTAAAGTAAAGCTCCAGCAACAAGAACACGTGAACATTTGTCCTATTTTTTACAAACTAATTCCTATGTTAATATTTTTTCAACGATATTTAACTTATGTTACATATATCTCCTCTGCCAAAATCCGATGAAGAGTTGAATGGAAATGAACAAATAAATAATTGGAAACATTCGATAAATATAGTTTTTATTTTTAATTTTGCATTTCTTTTGAACTTTTATATGTAAAACAGGACACAAACAAATCTAAAGTTGAAACGACTAGACAAAAAGCATACAATCGATTTGTGAGCGCGATGCGTAATGTAAGTAGGACGAGTGTAACTAAATATGTTCATACCAAAGTTTCAGAACTATATTTATATTTTTATTCTGTAGAAAGATAGAAAAATGGATCAAACATTTCATATATATTTTTTATTGACATTATTTGCCAACATTCAGTCCCGACATGAATGGGCTTGTTTAGTTTTTCACAATTGCCTAATTATAATTAGTTTAAAAAAATAAACGTTTTATTTATTTTCTACTTGTTACAAAAATGAACAATGTTTTGACGTAGCAATTTTAAACCATGACGTCGTATTTTTTCTTTTATAATTTAAAAAAAAACGACTTTAAGCAATATTGTAACTGAAATACGCTGTTCCATTTATAATACCTTACTTATATTTCAGCATACTCAAAAATACAATTCTGAAATGAAAGAGTTGTGTGGGGAGGAAAAAACAACAGCAATGGAATTGTTTGACCAAGAGACAAAATCGTTGAAGACAAAGATGTTAGACATTGTACAGAAAGAACGAAATACATTAAACGACGAGCTTGATGGTCATATCAAAAGTGTAAATAAGCAAAATGAAGACAATATGGTACGTTTTAATTTTTTTGTACTGGTTAACTTATATTTGCTTTGGTTTCCATTATTCTGTTTAATGTATAAAATTTTTGTTTTTGTTAAAGGTTACTGTAGATTTCTAAAGGTGTTTGTTGTACACTAACCCGGAAGTGAAACACAAAATAAAAACAAATTTACAATCTTGTATTTCTAAAAAAATATCACTTAAAATGTGATCTATTTTCATTTAATAGAAAAAAATGGAACTCGAGCAGAAAAACTTTATTAATGGTCTGGCACAAGAGTATCAATTAAAATTGAACGAGGTCAGCATTATTCATTTTGTTACTTATTTTTCTGTATGAAGTTTTGGACAACAAATTTTGATGTGATACTCCAGGGCTTCCCAATGTGATCCAGGTGGACTTTCAGGGGGCCCACAGCGCAATCATTGGGAGTCCACTGATAAAGTGAATTTAAATGATAATACAAAAAAGAGGCTCGACACGAGTGATTTGAGCCTACTATGCTTTTGGATAACAAGCAGCCACAAGGGTCTCACTAAAAATTTAATCTGTCTTTTATTCAATTGTGTTCACGAGTTGAAATCTTAAATTTATCAAAAAAATGAAAACTTTTGGATACCGGTACCGGGTAGCAAGCGATAAATACGATGGCAAAACTGCCCGATTCTATGCGAGTTTTTCTATTGGAAATATTTAAGTATTTGAATAAACCTATCTTAATTATACTAATAACAGTGCTTTAGACCTATAATATTTAAAATTGCTATTAAAATGATTATGCCAACTTAGTACCAGAACCAAGCGAACTGAGAAGCTCAAACTCTACAAGCCCAGTCCACAGGTTCTTCCTGTCATTTCAAAATAGAATATGGTAACAATACTGAGTACACTAAAATTGAATAGTTATATTGAAACAGCAAATGATTTAACGTAGATAAGTATAATAAACACCTGGATGTCCATACGACTTTGGATAATATTTTGAGGTCCACATCGAAAAAAGGTTTGGAAGCCTTGTGATACTTCATTGTTCAATCAAATATTAATATATTCATTGGAATATAATATTTTAGTTTGTGAACAACGAATTAAAATAAGGTATTTGGAATCTGATACTCCAACAACAAAAAATATAGCGCTGTATTTTAGTGAAAATTAAAATTAATACAGAGTTTACAATTTACCAAAACCATATGACTCTAATGAAATATTAGGATTTATTTATAATCATTTGAAACGAGTTCATGAAAAGTTCTTAATGGACTCAAAACTGACATAACAGAACTAAATCCGGATTCAATCAGATTAATCTTGAATGTTACTGCTAGATATTCAACTCGTGTTTCCCGGGATTTTCTTCTCCCATTAAAATAAGCTTCACATCTTATTTATCTACATTCTGTATCTTTTGTTAATGCTTGGGTTCCAGTTTAAAATAGTATTTAATTGACGAGAAACAAACTAATACTTCATAGGTTTTGAGTAATGTGACAACAACTGATACAGCTCTGGACAGTTTCAAGGAACAATTTATCAAAGATAAAAAGAGTGAACTTGAAGGCTATCCAGCATCGGTGTCAACAAAAGCAAAAGAAGAAATACAGAAAAAAACAACAGAAGCTAAGCGACAAAATGAAGAGAATAAAAAACACAGGTCTGTCGAAGTTGAAGAAAGTTTGGGATGGAAAATATTTAAAGGGATTGGCAACGCCGTGACTTACCCGTTTCGAAAAATTGTTAAAGTAATACAGATTGGTTGGAACTTTTTAACAAAGTAAATTTGATTATCGATCGAAGCCTAAGTATGACAAGACTTTGTTTTCTTCTTATATGATAGAGTAGGTCATGAAAATATGGCAGTCATATAAGATATGTTGTAGAAAGTTGCTTGATCCGTATTAATATTTGTGTATATACGTATAATCCTGTATTCTTGAATAAAAAAGATAGGTATTATGTGTTTTTGTTGTTTTCTGGCCAGTCCGATTCATTGATGGCATAAAAAAATTTAGACGCAGATTGTTTGGGCAAAAAAGAATAGTTTTAGTTCAGTGGATATACTTTGATTTTGAATAACAGGAATTCAGTAAAAAATTGCTCCAGTAAATTTTTTTCATGAACATTCACCAGTAATTGTATTGTGACATCACACAACATTGCAATATTTCCATTTACATTTCGATAAAATTCAGTGGCCTCGTTTTAAAGTTCTTATTAATTTCCACGATAGCATTCGTCGTATTGTCAGATGGGGCATTCGAATATATAATTGAATTACAAAGCTCGTGCTCCGTGCTCCGGTTGCAAAAAAGTCAAAGTTCATTGACTTGTAAGTTTGCATAAGTTCAATCGCATACTACATTGCGAAAAAATAAACAATGCTGTGGCGTGAAACCAGGATGTAATGATTCCGGATTCGGTGCTGTAGAAAATAATCGGAAATTTACTGAAACTTTCATGTCTTGCATGTGTTTGAACAAGAGATGACGACATATCGAAACACGTGAAATCTTCAGCGTTTGTATAAAGTGAACTTGTAACAGCGCGATCTTGAAGTAGTCGGAAGTGTCGCCCACAACAACGCAAAATTTCAGACCTATAAAAAATGCCCACTAACATAAAATTTCAATCAAAAAGTTATTCTACAGTTTTATTCCAAATATCAATACAAGTATAATAATAAAAACACGAAACTTAATATAATAATTGGTCAAATAGGTTTTAATTGTAACTAATAAATGTTTTAACACACGGATATTCTGAGAAAGATAAATCAGACAGACAGATAAATCGGACATCGGGAAGTAAAATGAAAACCAACAAAAACATTCTAGATAGATAAAATAAAAAAGAAATCGAGGGGAACAAATTAGATATATTCGGTTGCTATTAAAGGTGTTATTTTGAACTATCGCCCAAAATTTTGTTAGAAAGGCTAAAAACATTTCGTTCATTACATTTATAATATTAAAATGTATTATGTTTGCAAACAGCAAACAATACTCGTCTAAAAGTGTCAAAAAAGAACAATGCTGTAAAAAGTAATCGCAAAATTTTATAGCATCTCCATACTATGCATGTGGATGAATAATCTGTAATATGACCGTAGGCTTATTGTAAATCCCCATATGCTGTTAGTAATATTTTTCACGAATATGTAACGACAGACCGTATCCAGTACAATAACCTATCAATCTTATCTGAGAAAGTATTAGCGACGTTGAATAAAAATTGATGGATTTTGCATTCTCTTGGCCAACAATATCGCCTAAATTAAGTAAAATCTGCGAACATGGTCGCATCGCTAATCAAATCGTAAATAAGATGGAAGCGACATTTTTGACAAACAAAAATATAAAATATAATAACTAATCAGATACTTTTTTATACGAGAACGATAATATTAATCTAAGGCAGATATATCAGAAATTGTAATTTTGAAAATTAATTTTCAAAATAATATTAAGACTTCTTTCTTTTGCATAGATCTTATTTAAGTTTTTGAAAGCGCGAACTTGCCAATTGATCAAAAATTGGGGCTATTCTCCTTAACTATAAACATGATATATCTATTCAATGCGGTGCATGGAACCGATATAAAAATGAAATAATATGATACTAACAGATTTATTATCCAAAATCTACAAATGCAATAACCATGACTGATGAAATAATTAATAAAAGTCGCATTTAAAATCTCATGCCAAAATGGTGTGACTGCGCACTAATAATTGGAATAAAAGGAAGTTGCGCGTTCACGCACTGCTTTAATAGCTGCATCCGAAGATATGAAGTGAAAGAAGGATAAATTCTAATAGGTATACCTCAAGTTTAAAGGAAATAAAAAAAAATGGGATGAAATTTGATATCGCAGTTTGTATTTTTGTTGATAGTATTGTATTTTGAATTATCGGGGAAATTTTTGCATCAAAGAAACGTAAAATAATATCCTTTCACGACCCTTTGATTTAATATCCTACGCTGCAAAAAGACGAACAATGCCATAGCTTGAAACCCGGATACAGCGATTCAAACAAACCAGTGCTGTAAAGGGTAATCGGAAAATTGTCTGGCGTTTTCATGTGAATATGTAAACTATTCTATGACTATCGGAGTATTAAAAATTCCCCAATGCTGTTAGTAATATTGTTCAGAAAATCAGAAGACGAAGACAGACCATAGCCAGTACAAAACCAGATGCATCTACTTGATAAAGCAATAGCATAGTTGAAAACGGTATATATGCGGAATTGTAATCGGAATATTTAAAAGGAAGATGTGCGGTGTCTCCTTGCATTATTCACTACATCCCAGAATAAAGAGTCAATATAAAATGAAAACCAACAAGTACATTATAGATAAAAACATTTAAGTAACAGAGTAAGTAAGTAACAGAAAATTTTTATAGCCTCTCCATACTATGCATGTGAATGAATAATCTGTAATATGACCGCAGGCGTGATATAAATCCCCATATGCTATTTACTAATATTTTTCACAAAGATGTAACGGCAGACCGTATTCAGTACAATAACCTATCAATCTTATCTGAGAAAGTATTAGCGACGTTGAATAAAAATTGTTGGATTTTGCATTTTCTTGGCCAACAATATCGCTTAAATTAAGTAAAGTCTGCAAACATGGTCGTATCGCTAATCAAATCGTAAATAAGATGGAAGCGACATTTTCGAAAAACAAAAATATAAAATATAATAACTAATCAGATGCTTTTTTATACAAGAACGATAATAACAATCTAAGGCAGATATATCGGAATCAAAACTACCAATCATTATGAAGCCGAATTTGTAATTTTCATACTTCATCGCTTAAAGGCCATAATTTAACAAAGCGATCTGACCAAAATCCCATCGTTCGGCCTTATAGAAAGCAGAATGAAATTTCAATTTTACAGTCGAAGTAGGGCAGAAAATAATTTACGTTTCAGAGTCAAATATTTGCAGAAACAAAGCGTATACTTTTCATAGGAATGTAATCGGGTTCGGGCTTTTCCAGATTCACGACTTCATATCCACTCTGACTCGATGATGCCATGGCAGGTTGTGGCGATACCTGGCTGTTACTTGGACGTGACGTATATTGCGTGGTATCATTCGGTATCGTGATTTGCGGTGTTGCTCCTGCTCCGGTTCTGGGTAATTGATTATTCACTTCTTTGTGAAGGAGGGTAGAAGGCGGAACTGGTAACGGGCGGTTTAAAGTACCTGTATTGATTTGATCTTGTCCCTCTTGTGCTCGCCGATTTCTGAAGAAAACAAAATGCATTTGTGTGTGTTTATTATTTTTGATAAATTTGAAACACAAGATTGAATCATTTTCACAATTTATTATTGTACGTTCGCTTAGTTCTACTCTCATTTTGTTTCATAATTAAATAAAAAATATTTAAATGAGTTAAAGCTTCGGGATAAAAAATAAATATCAATTAATTGCACTAAAATAATATTTAGAAGTAATTTTTTAAAATTTATACTTTTAGACTCACCTATTTTTCGAATAAAAATACGCTTTGCATGCCGTGATTTGTAGAAGGAATACCAGAACAACCCCGCCGGCGATTAATCCAATTGTTTGAGGAGAAATTGTCATGGGATCGTCTTGGTAATCCTCGATTGCTTGCGAAGATAATGCATGCCGAGTCACCGTACTTGTTATGCTGTAATGACTGAAAGGTGTTTTTATTTTCCCAGCTGTTTCAGAGACTGTTTTCGTTGGCTGGTAGGTTGTAGGTTGCGCAGTTTTCAGGGATTCGATTCTTTTCCCTAAAGACAATAAGTTAGTTTATTTAACATTGAATATTTGAATATAAGTAACAAGCACATTGGTGGCTTATAATACAACATTCTTTCAATGGTAAAGATAATTCACGGCGAGTTTCGAAAAAGCATCATTGATAGTATATTAACAATGAATGCTTAACACCATCAACAATATATTTCGTGACTTATTTCCCCGATTTTATAATTCAATAGTTTTTTAATAGTAATAAGATCCACAACGAGTTTCGACAAGTTGTCATTGATATCCGTCTCACTTTAAGCGCATCTAAATATAGCGTTACAAGCTATCATTCATATTGCCATTTCCGAATAATATTAGATCCAAGAATGATGCTCCAGGCACCAAAAATCTTTTCAAATTTGAATGAAATTGGCATAAATATTAATGATGACAGGAAAGTATATAAACTTCACGAAATTTACGATTAAGCAGCGATCCCCCCAAAAAATGTGACAAATATGAAATAAATAACATTCTGGTAGACCTATTAATTCAATAAGATTTTTAGAAGAGAACGGTAAAAAATGTATTTTTGTGTGAACAAAAAGACAGCAACAAGAGCAAGAACAATTCAACAAAACTATCCAAAAAAACGTCTGATAGTTCTACTATACCTGTTATGCAATCGATATATTCGTAGCTCAAGTTGAATTGTGCTTTTGATGGTTCGCATTTGTACCAAACGATTGTACGAGAAACATTGATGCCCCAATCTCTGGTCTCGCATCCTGATTGCTTGATTTTGTCCAAGCAGAGATCAGAGTTGTACGTTACCCAACATATTTCGTCGTCGATAGAATCGAAATTAATGTTATCTCTCCAACAACCTTAATACGAAGAAAAACCCATATAACCTTATAGAACACTTCGAATATCAATTTCATATATTTAAGTTTGAATTAATAATCATCAGCACACGACGTTTATTGCAAGATGATTTGACATGATTTTATTTTAGCGTGGTGGTCTTGACAAAAAATTTAATGACGTTTAATTTATACAATACAATTTTAATACTTACAACATAAAGATAATATGTTTGAACCTATATCATCAATCAGAGAAGTTTAGATATGCATTACTTTTACAGTTTAATTTTAATAGCCATGAAGTCTATAACAACTATTACTTACAGTCGCCACCCATCCGTACCAGGTTAGTCTCTGTTTGAATAAAATTGGTTGTGAAATTCATTCGAAACATGATATGGGGCAGATCAGTTGGAAAATAAAACCACCATGAACAATAGTCCCAAATAGATAGACATTCTGCTTCTTCTGTTGGAGATTCCACTTCCCCGCTCAAATCTAATGTCTTCTCAGTGTTCCTGCACTCTTTTCCTTCAACAGCTGATATATCTGAGATAATACATATTTTGAATCACGTACAGTTTGCACTTAATTCAATATAAGTATGGTTCATTTGCAACAGATTTTAAAAATCAACTTGAAATGGTGAACAAACCTAGTTTCATTTTGTAGTAAAATTCTATCGCATTATTATTTTTCTTATTATTTATCTTTACTAAATGTGTTTTAACACTTGTGCCCCGTCATGAATAAAACAGCATAAGACATATCTCACCTGTGCATAGCAATATAATCACGAACAAGAAAATTCGATTCATTTTCGTGAAATATTCCTTTACTTTTTGCTTTACATTGTTCCAGTTTTCTGAAAATCGTAAATGCCGCGTTGCAATAGGAAAACACAGCTTGCAGTTTCTAAATTTAAATCAATATCTCCCAACGCACAGAATGTATCGAAACAACATTTTCAAATAAAATCGATGTCTTCGCTTCCCGAAGATTTCAGACAAATGTAAATACTGGAAGCGTTCTGTGATATATCAATGCAGTCAGTCGGTCAATCGTTCATTTGACGTCACAAAAAACAAATGCACAGAGCATTGGGGTCGAAATAAAATAATGTCAGTAACACTCATAGAAAGAGCGTCATGTTATCGGGTCATTACATCGGCTTTATTCATCTGAAACCAATAGAACTGAGTATGGTATACTCCTATTGCAATAGTATGATACTCACTGACTCACGATATCCCGGTTTAGTCCAAGGATTGTTATATTTCCTGAGACTAAAAATAGGATCAAAAATGAGTTTTCATAATGTGCGCAGTTTCAGAATCTAGTAGCCGGATTTGGTTCAAGAATTGTATGCTATTTTGCAATGTAAGATGTGATTGTTTACTTTGAAATATAGATTTCAATGCTGATTCACTCAATAGGACCTAATATACAACCAAACTGAACAATTATTAGGACATTAAAAATCTTTGTCTGACTGGAAATCTTTGCCATTGTAGCCTACTAATGGTTTGAATACTTTAAATATTATTATCAAAAATTACTCGGAATACACGTAAAATACTTATCTTGGAATCTTTGTCAGTGTGATTTTAAATTAGGAATTGTGAAATCAAAATCGTGCTATTTGCAGAATCTGCTAATTTTTAAATGATTCTTTACTGCATCTACATTTTGTGTTAGCCCCCAACAATTTAATATTCTTTAATTTAAACATGTTTTAATCTTAAAAAGTTGAACCAAAATATCGCCTTTTGAATATAAAAAAACTTAATTTGATCAAATTTATTTAAAGTGTCCTACAAACTCATGATTCATGATTTCAAAAAATTGTCAGTAATCCTTATAAAGATAAGAAATATCTGAATATTAAAAGACAGTTTCAACAAAATTCTTATTGAAATAAAAAGCTTTACTAGTAGTCAAACAGTGTATTTTAAATACCGAACAAAACAAAAACAAACAATAAAACAATGAAAGATTTAAAACAAAATTCAATCAGTATTGCTTTTTTAGCTTATGAAATATTTTGTTTATGGATAAACGACCTTTACATCTTTACGTTTAAATAACGTAAATCAACCTAAACCTTACGAGAAGTGTAAAAAAAATACTTTCCATGAAACGAAAATAAACTATTCCCAAATTGATTAATTCGGACTTAAAATTATGGCTGAACTGTTGTTGGTCTAAAATATTTAACCAATTTCCATTTTTCGTATTTAAATATTGTTTGCTTAGAACAGAGATGGCGAACCTTTTTCAATGAATGGGTCAAAAATTAAACTTTTATCGCGGAACAGAAATGACTGGGTCACAGATATTTAATCAATGTTTGTATCTAAGAAATCTAAGAAACTTCTATAAGACAAATCTTATAAGCTTCTGTTGGTTTTTGTGTAATTTTAGGCATTACTTATGCAGCACTCCTACCAGGGACTTTTTATCGCACTCGATTTTATGAAATCAGGGTACGAAAACACGCATATTAATTACCAAAAACGTTTAGGAATCGGCAAAATATTTTACAATTCCAAAGAGTTTTGAGGGAATTCCACTCTGATAGTGTTATATTTTTTGATCAGGTTTCAACAACATCAAGGCACTTCTACACTGTCCCATTGTTATTTCAGATTTCTAGGTTTTTATTTCAAGTCTGAAAGACATTTTTTTTCCAGACGACATTGTAGGCGAGAAACTAATAAAATGCAAAGTAGCATCTAGTTCTCGTATAACCCCTAAAACAGTCTGCTTATGCACTCCCGAAAAAGACAAGACGTTGCGAGAAATGAACAGATCAATTGCATTGTTATGTCATAAACGATGTCATAGCCACTAGCTAAATAACGGGCACACAGCGGTGCAGACATGCGCCCAAGATTAGCGGTTTTGAAAATCACCATACCGGCCCGGAAAATTAACAATTTGAATATGACTGTTTGAGCGATCGCAGCCCTTACTGCCCAACTGACGGTACATTATAAGAGTTTAGTTAGTGTTAAATTTAATTTAAGGCCGCTTTTATCAAGTTTTATGACTGATATGTTAGCATTTTTTTTTATTTTAATCGTGCCTTCGCGGGTCACGAATAAAACGCGGTACCCGCGAGTCAGTGGTTCGCCGTCCCTGGCTCAGAATATGTCTTAATCTTCCTCCTCCTAGAATACTGGTTCTCAACCAGTGAGCCATGAAAATATTTTGAGGTGAGCCACAGAACTATTACTAATTGCTAGTTTTATTTGTACTACCATAATTGTGATTGTAGTACCAAGGATTTACGATGCTGTTTTCTGCCACTGAATCGTAATTTTCATTTTATCATAAAAGGGACAGTCTCCATTTTTGCAGAAAAATTTGATTTTTTTTGTGTGGTTTTCTCTCGCAATAAAAATTTAATGGGCCACAATAATTTTTTTTTCAACGAAAATGGGCCAAGAACGAAAAAAGATTGTAAACCAAACCTAGAATAAGTCACAAGATCTTAACCGAACTAGTTTACAGACAAATGCACCACCGCAAGAGTATGCTATTCAAATTAAAATTGATGGCCATAGATATCCATCCTTTCTTTAGTCCATAACAACTTTTTCTTTTACATCTTGATGTATTTCTGTTGCATAAGTTAGATATTTTCACATTAATCCACATTCTAGAATAGGGCTTTGAATAAGTTTTAATATTGATAAATTTTGTATTTTTTAAGACTTTACTTATTATCTGATAGTCTAGTTCTGTGGTTCCCCAATCAATTTTTTTGTACCATCACCCCCCATCCAATAATTTATACCAAAAATAAGGGTTGCAAGTCTTGGCGGGCCGCCCTTGTTGTTTGAAATGTAAAAAGGAACATCGCGCGAAGACTGCGACAATTCGTGAACTCAACTCATTTGTCTTATAAAAAGAAAAAAAATTACAAATGACAATTATTGTGACACTGTCTTGTTGCTGCATCTCGCTTGATTGCTTTTCGACATCGGCGTCACACTGAATGAAGCCAAGATTGGAGCAATTTTTAAATGAGCATCACAAATCTTATTTTTTTCTAAAATAATTGTTCGCACACATATGTACTTCCAAACATTGAATTGAATTTTTTCTTATGGTTTGTCAAATTTTGATTTTTTTTTTTTTTACAAAGATACATTTTTATAAAAATCAAGCAGTGATGCATCTCTCAAATAGAATATGAATTGAGCACCTGCTCTCAACTCCAAATTGCTTGTGGCCATTTGTCTAATTGTTGTTCCGGAATACTATAACTTCTTCCAAACGTGTCTCATGATATATTCTTCTACTCCTCGAGCGTAGATTAAAAAAAATATTTCATCGTCAAAACACCGTTTTGTCGCTATAATTTAGTACAGCGTCGAGCCAGCCGCCGAAGAAAAATGGGTAAAGTATAATTAATTTAATAGAAGCCATCAGATGCAATAATTCCACTTTTTAACACCCAGAAATCTGACTTTAGCCCTATTTATGAAACAGTTTATTTTCTGATAAATACACAAATATCTCAATCATTAAATGACGACATTAATTGTACTATTTTGTCTCAAAAACTGTTTCATTTAAAATTATCGAATATCAGTACAACTTAATATCAGTCTAAAACTTAATGTACATTTTAAAACATGCTCTCTAATATAACAAAACGATTGAAGACCTGATGTTTTTTTTATCATTTCAAAAACAACAAAATATTTCCTCTTTTTTCGCTTTTCAAACTAGCCAATATTTTTTTATATTATCATTATAGGTATCATCACATCACAATTTGAACTCAAAAATATAGTTGTAATTTGAATACTAAAATAAACTTTTTCATATTTATAGCAAATTTAATATATATAGGCCTACGTTGAAGAAAGCAGTTGATTTTCAACGGCTTCATTTGTAGTAAACTATTCAAATTTAAAACGCATAAAATTTCTTAATATACTCGGCTTTAATATTACAAAATTAAAGTTAGTCATAATACCCTGGGATATTCGGTAAAATATGTACAAGTAATAAGAATAAGCCGGAAATATTACACATGGGAATTTATGATCTACATGCATGTTGCCTTGGAATGCTATCATGTTACAATAATAAACCCACACGCGATCAAAATTATTTTTTTTTGAGTGAATAATCGTTGCTGACAGGTTAAATTTTTATTAAAGATTTTATTGAAACTTAAGTTATCGATTGTAGTTTTAGAAAACAGTGATGAGCAACAGACGCCATGTAAATTTAATAAGCATATATAAAAATAAATTGGAACACGGTAAAACAAGAATAGCTACAACAAAATAATAATATTGATAGTTATAAATTTAAAAAAATGATGACGCTATCGTCACGTAACTTCCAATGCAAGAACTGTAACATACTTTTAACATACTTTTAAATGTCCCCTTTGTTTAGCTGGTTTGAAAAATACAAGAAATGCGTTTTCGAAGTTAGGTTTTTTTCCTTAATTTCATTTCAGTGAATTTTAGAGAATGGAAATTGCCCTTCCAGTACCACCAATATATTCCAGTATTATCAATTCTTCCGTCTTTATAGTAGATCCCGTTCAAATTTAGATAACCACAACCATTATCAAACCACCATGCCCCTTTACGAACGAGTGCACAATTTCCGGTGAATCCAACGTTATCAGAATCTTGTGTCGTGAAAGTCATTTTGTTGTGGTGTACCATCTCATCTTGGATTGGTCCAGAATGATCTCCAACTTCCAATCGGTATTTGTCATTTCCAGAAGCGATATTGAATATCCTGTAAAATTAAAACGTTGCAACTGAATTGTTATTTTTGACGACCCTTACCTGCCCGATATAGCCCCGTTGATCTCGAACTCGCGGAAATCAATTGCACAAAATAAGTATCAAGTTTCAATAGTTCGAATTTACTATAAGTCATGTTAAATTTCGCGAACCCCGTTATTTAATTATTACAAAACTTGTCGAATAATAAAATTGAAATCGAGATAATTGTATTAGCTACAACAACACACATAACACAAACGCCGCTATTGTCAAAATTATTCATATCAATTACTTGGATTGAGTGCAAACAATCTATAATAAAATATTTTGTGGTCGATGAGTCTACGCAGCGAGAGTTTTGTCGAGGTATGATAATGATACACAAAAAGGAAATTTGGGAGGATTGTATATTTAAAATTCCGGAGACTGGCGCAGTTTTCTTTTTTCTTATTCAGGGTTTCAGGAGTTAATTTTAACACAAATGCTTTACTAATCTATTTTATATTTTTTTCTGGCCTTTCTAGGGACTTCTATGGTTTACCCCCTTATTTTGCCTGCTTCTAAAAACGTGCGCCCCAGTTGCATTTTTTATCAGATAGATGATAATCAACGAGTATTTATAAGTCTATTTATATTTGTATAAACTGGTTCTAAAACATAGATTGAATGACTGATTTAGGTCTTTCCAAATTCGCACAGCATTCAAAAATTAAGTTCTGTTGTTTCAGTAGAAATAGGCAATAATGACACATTTCAATGAACATTGAAATAATTGCTTTTTAATTTTTTGTTCTTCCTTTTTTAATCTTAGCCAATATATACTTTTATTTGTTATTCTAATAATTACACTATTCACCCATATTTAGCATACGTGGTATTTCCTTCAAAATCTCCTAAATCTATTCTGAGTTCGTAGTTTGCATTTTTCGTCAGTTGGTGTATTGTCTCCAAACCTGTAATTAAATAACATCAAAACTATAAACAAAGAAAGAGATATAAAACCAAAACGACAGTTTAAACTATTGAATCAAAATGCATACAAATTAGCATAAGTATTTCTGACCAATACGTTCTGAAATAAAATTAAAATCGTTGCCTGCGGTAGAATAGTTAGAAGACATTTGTAATTTATAACTTGGAAACTACCGTAATTTTTTTTTCAAATATTTTCTTCTTTGTACATTTTTCTTTGGAACTTTATAAATTATAATTTAAAATATTGCCGTTCGGATAATTCAGAACATTTGATTCAAATTCAAAGAGTCTGAGTTAATCAGTTAGTCTCTTCAAAAAATATTTAGGCAGCAATATATTGTTAGTCACCACGACCTCATGATCAGCAGTTTGTGATTTTACATTAATTGTTGATCCACCTTACCCAACCAAAATTCGTTGTTCAATTTTCCGAATCCTTTTGCATAATTTGTCCAGTTTCTACGAAAATTTTCTGAACCATCGCGTCTACGTTGAAAAACCTTTAAAAAATTTACGAATTGAAATTTGTTATATATTTTTTTTTTCTATCGTCATGAGCTAATACAAGAGAGCTACGCACAAATATATGGACACGTTAGACCAGAGCGAATCAGTCTTTACCGGTACCTTTGACGCTACCGGTACCCTCAAAAAAGTTCTGAATTTCCAGTAGCAAGAATTTTGCAGAATCAAAACGTACAGCCAGTCATGACACTGACTAAAATCCGTGTTCCCATGGATAAAAAAATAATACAACAAAATTTTAGACGAAATATCAAATTTCATAGAATTCACGCATAATTTTGAAATAAATAAAAGTAATAGCTTTCTAGCGAAGAAATTAATCTTTAACCACTGAAAATTTCAAAGCAATTGGTCCAGTATTCGAAGAGAAAAGCGATTTTTTAAAAACGTGTCAAAGAACAAGAACAACAACAACATAATATTGAAACGATCGTTATGGCCACTAAACGTGTCCAATAATTTACCTGGAAGCATATCCGCTTCTAACAATAATGTATTTATTAATTCCAAAATGTGTTTATCAAGTTTTATTGGGACCCGGTGGCATAAAATCTAGTTCTGCTTTGACAGATAATAATGCCAAGAAGCTGTTAACCGTGGTCTTATCAGAAATTTTATAATATTGTACAAAATATAGGAATTCTTAATCTAACAAATATATTTCCAGCGTTTCTACACGATATCATGTTAAATTTCAATCAATCGCCGGAATTCGAGTTTACTAGTTTATCAAATCTAATCAATGTTTAATAACAAAGATAAAAAACTAACTTACAATCCAATCGCCTCCGTCAGTTTTAAGATCGCAATAAACCTCAACTGGTTTATCTTCAGATTCCGGATAAATATCAAAAACGCCACCAGTTTCATTCAACACCTTTGCTTTGGAACGAATGACTTTTGTGCAATCTGATGGGAAAACTTTGAAAAAAAACTTATTAATTTGTAAATATGGTTTATATTTTGCATATTTATTAAAATTATCATGGCAATATTTTTCGAAAGTTTAACTTTGTAACAAATTACTTTTGGTAAAGGGGTAAAACGAGTGAATATATTAGTGTAAAAAATGTGCCTGGTTCGCATGATTTTTTGGAAAGAAAAACATCCTGAAACACCGATTACTAATACTTGAGATGAGAAATATTAACAAGATAAATTGAATGTGGAATTAATTTTTTATATGCTTTTAAATTGACATAAAATATCAAAAGTTATACATTTAAAATAATAATTTCATCTGACCTTTTTCAGCAAGATTCTTTTTTATGAGTGCAGCAATTTCTAAAATATAATATAATGCTTCTTAATTTTAAACATGTTGCAAACGAATCCATTCAGAAAGCGGTAAAGAATTTCATACTTCGTCAATGTAGTACCTTTATTTTTAGTAATATGAATTTTGAGTGTTAATGAATGGGCCATATTTGCAAATTCTCCTTAGTTTATTTGACTCAATTATGTATTTTAAGTATCTTAGGACATTGCGAAATAAGTTTGTGATTTTTTAAACAAATTATTGCGATTACCGTGGCGTAGATTGTCTTCGATTATACTAACAATATTTTATTGATAATTATTATAGGTCTTATAAAACTCACCAGGACCGTCGTCGTTCTGTAAAAAAGAGACAAACATAGTTAATAATCAGATTTTGTATTTATAGTATTCCTCAAATTATGCAAAACAAGAAATATTGTCTAATATTTTGTTTCAAACACAACGTAATCTGCCAGAATCATTTGAAAGACACAAAGTGAACTTATTGATTATTTTGCTAAATTGTTGTTGTTAATAAATATTTTTTTTGGCGGGATAGCTTTTCAGGTAATGGACAAATCGATTTTTAGATTTTTTGCCCTTGAAATCTTGAAAGGGTCAAACCAATTGGGGCAGTCGAGCGGCGTTTTGAACATTTTTACACCAACGGCATTAAAAGGGTTTTGAGATATCTTCTTACTGGGCAATCTCCCACCGATACTAATTTCCCGTTGACCAACTTCTTGATGCACACTCCATCTATAAGAAATAAACGTTTGTTAGAAATACTATAAGACAAGCAAAGCAAAAAAAATATTTAAAAATGTTTTATGTGTAACGTTTGAGATTTAAACTTCGTCTTTAAAACAAAGAAATTGTTTGTATTCAAAACTAGTTTTGAAGTTTTGCTTTTTTCAATACGACAGAAACCTAAATCTGAACTCTATTTTAGTTGAAATTCATTTGTTCAAACAATGAATTAATATTATTTTTCTAAAAAAAAACTTACCAGGAATTTTAACACCAAGTGTATAATAAGTAAGGCAAAAAAAAAGAACCCCATAAATTGATATGAAAATCATTTCGTTAATTTCTATTGTGCGAAACTTTTTAAAACAAGGAAACAATGTTAAAAATGAAATATTGAATAACTTGTGTAATTTGTCTTCAGCATTTTATTATCTGCTAACAGGAATCCTACATTGAAAATCCAAAAAATACAAATACAAATTATTCTTTTGAACCAAACGAGCAACCTTAGGTCAAAGTTCGGAATATATTGACAGCGTTTAAAAAATTCAGCAGAAATTACTTAAATAATATTTTGAACTTTCCAGTCATGATGTTCGTGTAATATACATATTTACATTTTCGGAGTTTTCTGATAAAATTGGTGGTCCAGGTTATCTTTACAAAGTACACAGTAGCGCTTATTAGCAATGACGTCTTGTACAGAACTATTTGAAGCAAAACATGTATGAAAACGTTGTAATAGAACGACCACCGACCCATAATATACCCATAAATATCTTGAACTAACATATTATAAATATAAGTGATTGCTTTCAATTTGCGCAATGTGTATGAAAATAAAGCAATCGCTGTAACAGAATTTAAAATCACAGCAATTATAAATGATGCAATAACAAATAATATGTCAGTTTCTGTTGGTCATCAGTAATAATACAATCTCTTGGTGCTCCATTTGAATATTTTCTGTGCTATTGAGCACCTGCTCTCAGCCTCAAATTTTCTGCTTGTGGCAATTTGTCTAAATGTTGTTCAGATATAATATAACTTCTTCTGAACGTGTCTCACGATATATTCTGTTACATAAAAAATATAATCCACTCCTCGGGCGTAGACTAAAAAATTAATTCATCGTCAAAACACCGTTGTCGCTATAATTCAGTACAGCGTCGCGGGCCGTAGGTTGCTTACACCTGAGCTACGCGAACTACCTTACGGCGGAAAGGAATTCAACAATCCACTCGTGTGTAATTATTGTCCATGGGATTCAAACCTGCGAACGCATGCAGAGTACAGTAATCAAATGCTCGGTGAGCCAGCCGTCGAAGAAAAATGGTTACGCAAAATCGCCCCCTCCGGCTTTTTCGCACCCTTTGTATCGTTTTCGCCCCCTTTGGAAATCACTTGTCTAGTCGATGTATATAGTATAAAAGTATAATTAATTTAATAGAAGCCATCAGATGCAATAAGTCCACTTTTCAACACCCAGAAATGTGACTTTAGCTTTATTTATGAAACAATTTATTTTCTGATAAATACACAAGTATCTCAATCATTAAATGACGTCATTAATTGTACTATTTTGTCTCAAAAACTGGTTCATTTCAAATTATCGAATATCAGTACACCATCTGAAACTTACTGTACATTTTAAAACATGCTCTCTAATATGACAAAACGATTGAAGACCTGATGTTTTTTATCATTTCAAAAACAACAAAACATTTCCGCTTTTTTTTTTTGCTTTTCAAACTAGCCGATATTTTTTTATAATAACATCATAGGTATCATCACATAATAATTTGTACTCAAAAATACAGTTGTAATTTGAATATTGAAAAAAACTTTTTCAAATTTATTACGAACTACCAAAACTTTCATATATAGCAAATTTATTATACGTTAAAGAAAGCAAGAGATTTTTTAACGGCTTTATTTGTGGTAAACTATTCGAATTTTAAGTGCATAAAATTTCCTAATATATTCGGCTTTAATAAAAAAAAATTCAAATTAGTCATAATACGCTGGAATATTTGTTATTTTTGTAATGAGCGTTGACTTTATTACATATTACATGTTTAGAAGAAAGCTTTTGCGGTGGACGGACTAATATGTGTCAATTTCCAATATTCCCCAATTAAACAATGAATAGCTGAAATGCATAATAGCCACCTATGTATTTAGATAAAAAATGTACAACCAATAAGAATAAGCCGGAAATATTGCTCATGGGAATTTATGATCTCCATGCATGTTGCCTTTTGGAATGCGATCATGTTACAATAATGAACCCACACGCAGTCAAAAACATTTTTTTTTGAGTGAATAATCGTTGCTGACAGGTTGAATTCTACTTGATTAAATTTCAAATATTCCAGCATGCGTTAAAATTTTTAATACAGATTTTATTGAAACTTAAGTTATCGATTATTGTTTTTGAAAACAGCGATGAGCAACAGACGCCATGTAAATTTAATATACAAATATAATAATAAAATGGAACACGGCAAAACAAGAATGGCTGCAACGAAATAATAATATTGATAGTTATAGAATTTTAAAAAATGCTAAATTTACGCTATCGTCGCGTAACTTCCAATGCAAGAACTGTAACATACTTTTAAATGTCAATTTCCCCTTTGTTTAGCTGGTTTGAAAAATACAACAAATGCTTCATTTTGCGAAGTTAAATTTTTTTTCTTAATTTCATTTCAGTGAATTTTAGAGAATGAAAATCTCCCTTCCACAACCACCAATATATCCCAGTATTATCGATTCTCCCGTCTTTATAGTAGATACCGTTCAAATTCAGATAACCACAGCTATTATCAAACCACCATGCCCCTTCGCGATCAAGTGCACAATTTCCCGCGGATCCATCGTTATCAAAATCTTCTGTGGTGAAGTGCATTTCGTTGTGATATAACATTTCATCTTGGATTGGTCCAGAATGATCTCCAACTTTCAATCGATATTTGTCTCGCCCGGAGGAAATATTGAATATCCTGTAGAGTAATTCGTTGCAACTTAAAAGTCATTTGTAGGACCGTCAGCGCGACTCGTTAATTTGGAACTCGCGGTAATCAAAGGAAATTAAAAAAAATATGACGTTTTAAAATTCAAATTTACTGAAAGTCATATTAAGTCCTCGGAGTTTGAACAAAACTTGTCAAACAGTGAAATGAAAATCGGGATACTCACATAAGATACAACACACATAACATGAATGCCGCTATTGCCAAAATTATTGATCAATTACTTGGATTGAGTGCAAACCATCTATAATGAAATATCTTGTGGTCGATGAGTCTACGAAGCGAGAGTTTCGTCGAGGTATGATAATGATAAACAAAAAGGAAACTTTGATCTCTTGCTTTCTCTCCATTCAATGACCAATGTTTTTAAAATTCCCGAGACTGGCGCATTTTTCTTTTAGGGTTTTAGGAGTTAATGTTAGAACAAATGCATTACTACTTAATTTTATGTTTTTTTTTTGGCCTTCCAATGAACTTCTATGGTTTACCCTTTATTTAACCTACTTCTAAAAACGTGCAACTTCAAGTGGATTTTCTCAGATAGATGATATCAACGAGTATTTTTATGTTTATTTACATTTGTATAAACTGGTTCTTGAACATAGACTGAATGACTGCTTTTTGGTGTTGCCGAATTCGCACGTCATTCAAAAATCATGTTCTGTTGTTTCAGTAAAAATAGGCAATGACACATTGCAATGAATATTGAAATTATTGCTTGTAAATTGTTTGTTCTTTCTTTTTTAATCTTACCCAATATTTACTTTTATTTCTTGGTCTAATAGTTAAACTACTCACCCATATTTAGCATACGTGGTATTTCCTTCAAAATCTCCCAAATCTATTCTGAGTTCGTAGTTTGCATTCTTCGTCAGTTGGTGTATTGTCTCCAAACCTGTAATTAAATAACATCAAAACTATAAACAAAGAAAGAGATATAAAACCAAAACGAAGGAACAGTTCAAACTATTGAATCAAAATGCATACAAATTATCATAAGTATTCCTGACCAATACGTTCTGAAATAAAATTAAAATCATTGTCTGCGGTAAAATATTTAGAAGAAATTTGTAATTTATAACTTGGAAACTAATTTTTTTTTTAAATAATTTCTTCTTTGTACATTTTTCATTGGAACTTTATAAATTATAATTTAAAATATTGCCGTTCTGATAATTCAGAACATTTGATTCAAATTCAAAGAGTCTGAGTTAATCAGTTAGTCTCTTCAAAAAATATTTAGGCAACAATATATTCTTAGTCACCACGACCTCATGATCAGCAGTTTGTGATTTTACATTAATTGTTGATCTACCTTACCCAACCAAAATTCGTTGTTCAATTTCCCGAATCCCTTTGCATAATCTGTCCAGTTTCTACGAAAGTTTTCTGAACCATCGCGTCTACGTTGAAAAACCTTTAAAAAATTAAATTTGTTATATTTTTTTTTTCTATTATCGTTTTCCTAGAAGCATATCCGCTTCTAACAATAATGTATTTAATAATTCCAAAATGTGTTTATCAAGTTTTATTGGGACCCGGTGGCATAAAATCTAGTTCTGCTTTGACAGATTATAATGCCAAGAAGCTGTTAACCGTGGTCTTATCAGTAATTTTATAATATTGCACAAAGTCTAAGAATTCTTAATCTAACAAATATATTACCAGCGTTTCTACACGATATCATGTTAAATTTCAATCAATCGCCGGAATTCGAGTTTACTAGTTTATCAAATCTAATCAATGTTTAATAACAAAGATAAAAAAACTAACTTACAATCCAACCGCCTCCGTCAGTTTTAAGATCGCAATAAACCTCAACTGGTTTATCTTCAGATTCTGGATAAATATCAAAAACGCCACCAGTTTCATTCAACACCTTTGCTTTGGAACGAATGACTTTTGTGCAATCTGATGGAAAAACTTTGAAAAAAAGCTTATTAATTTGTAAATATGGTTTATATTTTGCATATTTATTAAAATTATCATGGCAATATTTTTCGAAAGTTTAGCTTTGTAACAAATTACTTTTGGTAAAGGGGTAAAACGAGTAAATATATTAGTGTTAAAAATGTGCCTGGCTCGCATGATTTTTTGTAAAGAAAAACATCCTGAAACATCGATTACTAATACTTGAGATGAGAAATATTAACAAGATAAATTGAATTAGGAATTAATTTTATATATGCTTTTAAATTGACATAAAATATCAAAAGTCATACATTTAAAATAATAATTTCATCTGACCTTTTTCAGCAAGATTCTTTTTTATGAGTGCAGCAATTTCTAAAATATAATATAATGCTTCTTAATTTTAAACATGTTGCAAACGAATCCATTCAGAAAGCGGTAGAGAATTTCATACTTCGTCAATGTAGTACCTTCATTTTTAGTAATATGAATTTTGAGTGTTAATGAATGGGCCATATTTGCAAATTCTCCTTGGTTTATTTGACTCAATTATGTATTTTAAGTATCTTAGGACATTGCGAAATAAGTTTGTGATTTTTTAAATAAATTATTGCGATTACCGTGGCGTAGATTGTCTTCGATTATACTAACAATATTTTATTGATAATCATTATAGGTCTTATAAAACTCACCAGAACCGTCGTCTTTCTGTAAAAAAGAGACAAACATAGTTAATAATCAGATTTTGTATTTATAGTATTCCTCAAATTAAGCAAAACAAGAAATATTGTCTAATATTTTGTTTCAAACACAACGTAATCTGCCAGAATCATTTGAAAGACACAAAGTGAACTTATTGATTATTTTGCTAAATTGTTGTTGTTGATAAATATTTTTTTTTGGCGGGATAGCTTTTCAAGTAATGGACAAATTGATTTTTAGATTTTTTGCCCTTGAAATCTTGAAAGGGTGAAACCTTGAAAGGGTCAAACCACTTGGGGCAGTCGAGCGGCGTTTTGAACATCTTTACACCAACGGCATTAAAAGGGTTTTGAGATAGCTTCTTACTTGGCAATCTCCCACCGATACTAATTTCCCGTTGACCAACTTCTTGATGCACACTCCATCTATAAGAAACAAACGTTTGTTAGAAATACCTTAAGATAAGCAAAGCAAAAAAATATTTAAAAATGTTTTATGTGTAACGTTTAAAATTTAAACTTCGTCTTTAATACAAAGGAATTGTTTGTATTCAAAACTACTTTTGAAGTTTTGCTTTTTTCAATACGACAGAAAACTAAATCTGAACTATATTTTAGTTGAAATTCATTTGTTCAAACAATGAATTAATATTATTTTTCTAAAAAAAAACTTACCAGGAACTTTAACACCAAGTGTATAATAAGTAAGGCAAAAAAGTAGAACCCCATAAATTGATATGAAAATCATTTCGTTAATTTCTATTTTGCGAAACTTTTTAAAACAAGGAAACAATGTTAAAAATGAAATATTGAATAACTTGTGTAATTTGTCTTCAGCATTTTATTATCTGCTAACAGGAATCCTACATTGAAAATCCAAAAAATACAAATACAAATTATTCTTTTGAACCAAACGAGCAACCTTAGGTCAAAGTTCGGAATATATTGACAGCGTTTAAAAAATTCAGCAGAAATTACTTAAATAATATTATAAACTTTCCAGTCATGATGTTCGTGTAATATACATATTTACATTTTCGGAGTTTTCTGATAAAATTGGTGGTCCAGGTTATCTTTAAAAAGTACACAGTAGCGCTTATTAGCAATGACGTCATGTTCAGAACTATTTGAAGCGAAACATGTATGACAACGTTGTAATAGAACGACCACCGACCCATAATATACCCATAAATATCTTGAACTAACACATTATAAATATAAGTGATTGCTTTTATTTTGCGCAAGGTGTATAAAAATGGAGCAATTCGCTGTAACATAATTTAAAACCACAGCAATTATAATTGATGCAATTACAAATAATACACCAGTTTCTGTTGATCATCAGTAATAATAAAATTGTTTCAGATGTAAACAAAATCTATCTGCTCGTCTTTTATATTTCATATATCTTTACTACATTACCAATAGTCCGGCAGATAAGGGGACCTTTTTGGCCCAAGTTTGATTTCAGACATGAAGTTTTATTTATTTGTGATTATTCATCTTGGGGTCATTGCCCATCATTTCAACATGGGTGTGGAGTTTGCAGCCTTGAGCAATTTTTTTACGGCTCGATATTTGTATTAGTGTTTTTCGTCAAACCTGTGCATCACAATGACGCACAACCTGAACAATAACCTGTTACAATACGATGTTCAGGTTGTGCGCAATCTCGTTGCACAAACTACTCAAGCACCAACTTTACTAGGAATTAAAATCAATAACTTTTAGGTATTTATTGAGATATTTGTATTAGTGTTTTTCGTCGAACATGTGTATCATAATGACGCAAAACCTGAATCATAACCTGTTACAATATTATGTTCAGGTTGTGCGCAATCTTGGTGCACAGACTACGCAAGCACCAAATTTACTAGGAAATAAAATCAATAACTTTTAGGTATTTGTTGAGCCCAGCTTTGGGTCGCAACCCGTATACAGTATATGGAAATACTGTCGAAACATACGCGTAAAATAAAGAGTACTATTTCAAAATACCCGTTTTTGTTGCAATTAACAATACAAGCCTGCTAATGCAGTCGCCAGTGTTTCAAGTGGATATACACCCGGTGAAGAACAGTCAATCATTTGTTAGCGAGAATTGTTATGCAGCGGGATGATCACGACGACGCAGTGAAAGATAATGATATCACGAGAACAGGAATAAGAAAATTGCCACTTTCATAGTATATCTCTGGGAAAGAATGTAGTTCATTCTAATGTTCTATGCCAATGCTTTCCAAACTACCAAAGACTCTCAACACTTTTGCTTGTTCTCTTTTATAAAAATACATTGGTATTATATATTCGCATTTCCATCTGTTTGTTCGTGCTCCCAGATAACCGATCAGCGGCCTCCAAGGAGGACGGGGTGCCCTTTTAAGAAACCCTGTCATAAACCAAAAGAGGCGACCGTGCCTCTCTTGCCTGATGTCATGCTGTCCCTGGAATTCAGCTACAACAAAAATTTCACGAAAACGGATTTTTAAATTTTATGATTTTATTAATATTCTCAACAATGAATAATATACGGGTGGTAAAATGCCAAGTTATTCCAACAACATGATCATGTTTTGCAATTTACAACCAATATTTTGTATGTAACTTTGTTTGACAGAGCCCCAAGAGCTCTAACTACAAATATCAAAAATGTGAGGCCAAGAAAGTCACACTACAATATTGCTGTATTTACGATAGATAACAGGTTTACCAAAAAGAATTACATAAAAAATGGTAAAATAAAGATCAATTCAGCAATATCTACTTGGTGATATGCATCTGTTGATGATTTTATGTGTTTGTTTAGGAAGTTTAATAACATACTTAATTGTAGTTGTTGGGAATTTTTAAAAAAAAGTTTGCATGGAAAAAAGTTTTCACAAAATGTTAAGGTTTGATAGTAGTAGAGAAGTAGAAAAAATACTCCCATGTTTTTCGTTTGATAACCACGCCACAGAACTTCCCCGATAAGAATACGCAGCAGTTGCGAGAGGCAGAAATGCCAAGATGGGATTTTATCGCATTGCAAACCAATATTAGCAATTCTTATATATATTCGCGCATTCCCATATGAACAGCGTGGAAAAGATTATACCCATCTACACACTTTAAGAACTATGTCAGATGAGCGTCATATTATCGAATATCAGTAAAGGAATAGTGCAATGGTAAAAGACATATAAGGCGGAACTTTCAGTAGTATGCAATCAAATAATCTTATTGTAGAATATATATTTAAAAACATTTCGTCACGCCAACTGCAGTCCGAAACTTTTTGTCTCTGGCTGAGCTTAGATACCAATTGGCACTCATGTAAACTGGTAAGACTCTAAGGGACACTAAGCAGATACTAAGAGTATCCATCCCCCACCTGTCATTTGAGTGGGTTCTGCTGTTTTTATTGCAGATGTTACTGATTCTTTTGTATTAAAGATTTACTGGCAACACTGATTTAAGGATGTTGGAAACCAACAAGCAATATTACAAAACTTACTCTTAACACGCGGTTTGAATGAATGAAATTGCTTAAACTAGTATTCTTTAGAACAGCATACAAATTCCATGGAATGAAATCATACACAAAAACTCGTCAAAAACCTATAGCTCAATAATCAAGTGGAATTTGATGCATGTGCGCAAAAATGTGCGCGTTACTATACGTACAACCGGAGCACGCAGGAAAATATGTGCGATGTACTAGTATTCAAAACGTTTGACTCAACAATGTTGGCATAACCGGTGCACATCTCGGTTTCGCATAGGCATACCTTCTATCTCCACAAGAATATATTAATTCAAGTCAATGCAGCACTGAAAGGTTACGGTTCTTCCAAAAGAAAACACGTTACACATTTTTAGATACCAGTGGATAGTTTTACATTGCCATGTACGGAGTGAAAGACGAGGTCAAATATTCCAATCCAATTCCAATATTCCAATATTTCCCAAGTCCCTAAGCTTAAACAAGGTATACGAAATGCGCGCGACAACGCAAATGTAGTTTGAAGAGCGCAATAGAAAGTGGCTAGATGCTGTCGATGGATCTTGGCTTTTATTAGTGAAATAAACTACCATTTATTCTACTAAAATTGAATTTCTGACATTAGAAGGAGATTCAATGTTACTATGTATGCAAAACTAAACCATGTAGTTATAAAATAATTGTTTTTAACAAAAAGGCGCTCCTGAAGTATTCGTAGCAAAAAAGCGCATAACCTGAACACTGTATGTTTACCAGATTAGGGTTCAGGATGTGCGTCATCTTGGATCGAATACTTTAAATCCACTTAAGAAAGATCGCTCAACATTATATACTCCACACCCACCTGGGTAACATTATATATGTCATATGCATTATATCTAAACAATAAAAAAAACTTTATGTCCCAAAACAATGTTAAGGCCCGATTCTGCCGGATTACAAGTCCCAATTGCCCTCTGGACAAGACACAATTTCTCTCATGCGGAGAAATATAATTTCTTGTTTTTAGCACTTCTACCAATCTGATATATATGTATAAAAGAATTGAGCCATGGTTTCCTCATTGCTATTAAAATATTATAGCTACTACAACTACAATTTTAAATTAGGATTTGTAACTTTTATGAGATTGAAATACGAAGACAACAAAATTTTATTCGTTTCTCATGCCAAACCTCAACCTCATTCTGAAAACCTCTTTTCCATACTGGCTCGCCTCATCAAGCAAAATGACTGACGCTTCGAGATTGACTATGCATTCTAGGGTCAATACGTAGTATTATTTCGACATACGCAAGAATTTATTATGAAATAATTGACTCATTGAAATGACCGTAGGCCCTATAACGGGTTTAAATAAACCATGTATCCTATTTGGTGTAAAAATATCACCCTTTTAAATTAATATTGACTATAAAAACCTTTCCAGTGAATGAACTCTGTGAGATTGATTTGATATCAAATTGAATGAAATCGAAGAAAATGACTCAAAACGAATACCATATTATTAATACAAACGCACATAGAATAATAATGCAACACAATGCATATTGAATATTGGGTTAAGTAAACACCTCTTTTGCGATCACAACGAGGGATACATTTTAATAACCTGATGACGCACGTTTCCTACCTGCCAATTGATTCGTTACATTATAATATTTATTCATTTTTTCATATCGGCGCATTATTTTTGCATGACGAAAATAAATATCTGAATCTGAATCTGAACACTGGTGAACATGCCGATGTAGAGGAACTTCCGCAATGCGATAAAAGATGCGGATTTTTTAGTATTATATATACATTAACACTCCTACGTAAATGAACATTAAATATTAGAAAATAAATTAGGATCTGTCCTGAAAATGCCCTTAAAACACAGCAGTTTACAGAGAGTTGTGGACAAACAAAAAATTTGATTAGCTCCAAATGCTAGTGTTGAACTAGTGCAAATGACTTTGAGAAAGCACATGAGTGATCTAATCAGTATCATATGACCTGCCTTTGGGAGAATTTTAATACCTCACTGTTATCGACACTGATCTATAAGAGCGCATCGCCATAAGACGTTCAATACGCAAATAACCATCATTGCCGGACGAAACTACAGTCAACATCAGCATGACGTAAGAAGCGTGGGGCTCAAGATTCGTGTTGTGAGTGACGTTGACGTAGCGTAGTGTGACGTTAGCGTAGGTGGGGGCGGGGCACAAAATTCATTATGCATTTTAATGAGTGTCAACTGCTATTTCCTTCTGAATCTGCTCAATTAAATTTACGTCATGTGTAGTGGCAATCGACTAGATACATCTTCTGTTGCATTGGTATTCAAAAACGTAACAAAATATAATTTTGTTGACTTTAAAGTAAGATCCGATACAATTTCGATTCCATTGCCGTCTCACTTATATTTCTATGCAATTACAGTGTGTAATGAAACCTTATCAAGACCCAAGCAAGTTTAAAGCTCATGCGATGGAAAAAAGCTAATGTACCGAAAACCATTTCTCATTTTTGCACAGTAATTAAAATTAAAATAAAAAGTACAGGATGGTACCCAACATAACAAACAAGTATTTTAAACATATTCTGGAGATACCGTAACTTTTGAGCAGACCATCCTATATTACTGAAATTTTTCGGTACAATAATACACAAATAGAAGTTCAACTTTGAAGATGTTAAATTTTTTTTTTCAGTTTCGTAGAAGTAATTAGGTAATTTTTGATTCTGTTATATTATTTTTGGCCACGAAAGTTATTATTTTCATTACTTTAATCGCAATCTCAGTTTCTCACATTCTCCACAGAATCAACAAATTGTAATGTAATGATAACTGTCTCTAAAGGTTACAGCCTACTTCAGGCAATGATTTTTTCGTATTCTTTTCTACCAAATACAATTCGAATTTCAAATAAAACGGAAACATGGTTTATGGTACTTAAAAAGATATGCGTTTATTAGACATTCTAGACCGACCTTCAAATAACGCATGCAAAACCAAATTCCTTCCACGATCGAAATTTGCCCTCTAAAAACTAATGAGACACATTTATATTATTATAATAATTTACGGATGGGTTTGAATCACGCCACATTAATCTTCTGTGAAAAATGCAATAAACGACAAAGACATGTTAAGAATGAATCGAACTGAAAGGTGTTATGACAAGGATGATACCAATAAACTCTGTACATCCTATTAATATGGTACACCATTTATAGTTTTGGTTACACCCTGGGGTGTGCTGTACACTCAGTTGCCGAGCACCGTTCGAGACAGACCTTCAAATAACGAATGCGAAATAAAATCCGCCCCACGATTCGAAATTTGCCCACTAAAAACTAATTGTGTTTGTTAAACATTGAGACATGTGGTTGTGACTGGCATACTGGTAGGATTATTCGCATCACATTAAGTATCCCTATACACCCGTGTACACACCGAAAAGGTTGGACTACACCTCGATGACGAGCATTGTTTTAGACAGACCTTTACACAATATAGCGATCGGAAACCGCCCACCTATCGATCTTGTGGCGTGTATCCTTCACTTCGACTCACTAGCGTCACCGCGTGTTCCCATCACTAATTAATTAAAACTCCGTTAATGATATACAAATAATTTATCCAAAATCAATAGACTTCTGGTCCGAGATATGATGAAAGCACATGCAACCTAGCTTTCGTGAGATATCGCGAATGTCTAACAGAAAAACAAATACCTATCAACATATCTACCGATCGGGATCGATAAGTAATACCGAATAGAAAACCAGAATTCACAGACAATCGAAAATGCCCGCTACTGACTGTGCTTATTGAACACTGAGACACATTTATATGACGATCATAACCTTTTTGCCCAAAATGCATGAAACGACAAAGGTATGTTGAGGATACCAATGTGATCCGAAATAAACATGAATAAAGAATAATTCAACATGTAGCCAGTGAAAACATTTGTTTTAGAGTTTCGCCTGATAATGATGTTATTCGATGAAAGTGGTGCAAAGCTCCTCATTTACCCTAAAAAGACTGGTTATGTTAGCCTGAATACTCCTATTTGCTAAATTAGAAAGCAGTGACATTTAATACTGAAATTTGATGAATCTTTGTTGTACTTTCTTTGCTGGGAATTTTGGTACTCCCGTTGTATGTATACCAGGTTAGGTCCTAAATTATGATTTTTTTTTCTTAGTTCAATTACGAGTTCAGGACTGTCTGCGTTAGGTAAGTGAATACACCCCCGGCCCATAGGCTGCAATCCCTAAACACAACTTTATGTAAAATAGGTGAACAAAATTAGCTACCTCCATATTGGTACACATACTTCTAGAGCGACGGAATTTCTCCAAGCCCATTTATGGTCTATGCGGTTAGATCAGACATGCAGCCTTCACATATACATTCAATATTATATTTATAATCAGCTCATAGGTAATGTGCATAAAATAATGGATTCATTAGAAAGCGAGTCGAGGCTTTAAAATTTTCCGTGATTTTCTGGATAGTTATTGACACTTATCAGTGGTATTATTTTTATTTTTTCGAACTGACTAAATAATAGTAATCTACCACACGTTTGGGCAAGCGTTCATAGCGATTTGTTGTCCGAGCCATCACAGAATGGCAAATGTTCATATACACAGCAGAAAGCATTTAAAATTGTCAAAAAATGCTAAAGCGGCAATGGGGAATGCGCGAAAAATAAATGTTTTTACACTCCCACATTTTGTTTGTTTTTAAGGTATAAATATTCTCTGACCCTACACATCGTTGTTGTAATAAATAATAAGCTTATTTTCGACAAAATTGTATTTATCTTTTTGTGTGATCCATAGACATCGTAGTTTCCTTTGAAATATGTGAGCTAGGAAAACTGAAATATTTCAAAAGTCATTTTCAATTCATATACTTTTGTATGGTCTTATGTAGATAATTAATAATTCAGGCGTTGTTTCAAATGAAGATAAAAAGCAAACTAATTAAACTTGTCTACAATTATCACACTAAACACGCATCACTACTATTTTGTGATATTTTCTCAATTCGCAATTCAATTCACTCCCGAATGCATTTAAATATTTTGTATTTGATTCGCACGAAAGCAGCGAACAGTGCAACCAAAGTCTCGACATAAAAGTTTCCTCCTTGCTCGCATGAATTGTAACAGTGTTCCCGAATGCAAATATTGTAATGTTGGTCACAAATAAATCTACATAACTGAAAGTATCTGAATATTTGAAATGTTTTTGGGCTCTAATTTAAATCAAATAATACATGCTCTCAATTGAAATCCATCCTCTTCAAATGGATTTCAATGCGTAAAGGATGAGGGTAGCGCATTGATCCAAAACCAAATTGTTTCCGTTGTATGACAATGAACGAACAACAATGTCAAGCTGAAATGCCAAAATGAATTAAAGTATAGGATTATGAATACTCGTTATGAAGGGTCCATACTTCCCTGACCGTAATAAAATTGAACGATCCCGCCTTTTTAAATTGTTTTTTCCGGAATCAATCTGAGGTTAATTCGTTTTACATTCGTGTCGGCAAATACTTTGCAAGCGCAAGGTAATAAGTTAAGCAAGCGGTTGAAGTTGAGATTGCTTTATTGATAAATGCAGTATATTGCTCAGTTTGAGTGAAATTAAACTATCTACATAAGAAATGGAATGAATATTTAGTAAAACAAAATATTTTTCACGAAGGGATCTGGGAGCTTAAACACAGGCGATTGAAAGGTTAGGGCATTTGCAAGATGGCTGTCGAATTTCTACAACAATTTCAAAATGGTGTGAATGATTATATATTTAAGTCCATTTATATTTTCGGATTTTAATCAGAATTAACAGGGTTATACTCCTTCATTAGCTAAATAAAACCAATATATATTTTATGAGAAATATGAGTGCAATAGAAAAAATGCCAGAAATTTTACTAAAATGGTAAAGAAATTTTCGACCAATGCCTAATAAATTTGTAATGGGATCGTGTTTTCGGGTACTTGTCGTATCTTCGATTGTTATGAATTCGTCGATTCAATTATTTCCCCAAATATTGGGATTCTTTTTCTACAGATTATTATTTTTGTACAATATTCAGTGTCTTTTTGCAAAAAATGAAAATCGACGATTGTTGTGAAGCTGAATGTAATGTTAACAAATGTAATGAAAGAAGAGGCTTCGACAAGCTTTGTGCAGTATTATTGGCGGGTATTCGATTTACAGCTTGATATCGACAATTGTGACCATTATATCAAACAAATGGCTCGTTGCCAACAACGAAAGTGCATCTCAGGGCTATCACAGTTATGCGGTATTGGAAATGAAGTCAACTGCACAAGCTCAATTAGTTGTGTACAATGCAATGACACTGAACAAGAGACGCATTGCAAATCATTTAGTAAGTATAAATATAAATAGGATGTTTGTCGGTCATCGGTCTTCAGACTGCCCAGACTGGCTGAAAGAGTAGTTATAGAATTAGATTACGAAACAGTGAACATCTAAAATATATTTGACAATGGCATAGCAAAAACAAACAATGTTTAATATCAAACGCTTGGTATAATTTGAGTAACACCTCACTTAATAAATTCTACAATGCAAAAGTTTATGAATTCATAAAAAACACGTATTTCATCTCACTCCATTTTTTTGGTACCGCTTATAATTCATTCCATTCATTTCAGAACGTGGAATCGACGAAAAAGTTGCATTTGGTCTATTACTTGTCTCTGCATCACTTCGTTTCATTTCTTGCAGCCTTTCTGTCGTCGTTGATTGGTTTTTCACCATCAAAAAGTGTTGCTCTGAAAGTTCGAGACCGCACTTTGTGACCATTGTTACATTGGAATCCATTGCAGGTGCTTGTTTTCTACTATGCTTATTTTCTACGGTATGATATTTCTATCAAGCCTTTATTCATGTATTATCGGTTTTAAAATAACTTTTAGTTTGATTCATCTTATAAGTATTTCCAAAACGTTATAATGACCTAACTTAAAATTTGTGCGCGATACTAGAGATACTAATATAGACACCATACGTTTTTGAAATGATTTTACGATTAATATTTGGCGATCATTGACTATAATCGTGGCTGGTTATTTAGAGTTTAGGATCTCTCCAATTTATACAACGTTTTAAACCCTGTTGGCCATCTTAATAAAAACGTACTAAACAAAGATTTCCTAGTCCAAATGTTCCCCACAAACTTGATGCTTGTCGTTATAAAAAATACTCACTAAAAATTTATTCGAAACAAAAAACTAGACGAAAATATTCGAATGCAAAGGGTTCTGATTGACATTCTTTTCTAATTTATGAGTGTAATTTCATATGATATATTTGAAAAATCGATTTTAATTTCAGCCTTCATGGATCTTGCCACAGCCATAATCTACGCTGTTTATAACGAAGACAAAAAATTGGAAGATATTCCTCACATAGGTTCTCTGTGTGCAAGATTTGGAGGCGCATTCGGTGCGACATGTGCTAGAGTATTCTGGCTGATTCTACCATGGATTCTATTTGCAAAATCATGGTATAACGGCACCATTGACAGAGCGGATAAAGAAACAAAAGAACAAGATGAAAATGAAAACGCTAATCTAGCCTAGTAGATACACGTATCATTTAATGAACCTTCATGTCAATACAGCTTCAATCGTTGACATTTGTCTCGACAGGAATGACTAACTTTTTAGCAAGTTTCAAAATAAACTGAAAATAAATAAAACGGAAGTTTCTAAGTTTTTAATTACCAACAGCATACTATTTTAGTGTAAAACATATTTGGATCTGTTGCAGAAAAAAGACACCCCCGCAACTGTAATAAAAAAAAATTCTAATTATCCAGTCATCCCTAACCGAACCCTAATTGATAATTACTAATTTTCCATTTTAAACGTGCTGAGGTCTTTTCAAATCTCATTTTTTTTTTTTACAAAGTTTCAATTCTTTTTGCATTTTATGTATATAATCATTGGAAGGGCGCTTAATTGAGCAAGAACACAAATTGGCTATGGCAACATTTAACTAAACCAGGAAAGTAAAACGTTGTTCCGTTGAATAAACATTTATAGTTATTCACAGCTTTCACATTGCGTGTCTGCTTTTGTAGCAAATATTGGCCGTTTATAGATAAACAGAATATGGAATATTTTATTTAATTTTAAAAATCACAAATTGAATTTTCCCCGATTAGATTTAATAATTCCAAATTATCTTCTCATGTCAATTAAAATAGACTAATTGTGCGAATATGCCTATCTGTGTATTGTATTGAGATTTTTCTGCTATCGAGACTTTCACGCAGTCAGAACGGTCAAAAATCCATGCCAGAGTATATAATAAGATCAATTGGTACTGGTGCGTGTACAAATATGTGGAGTAAAGAAAACTCCTAGATCGAGTGTTAGTTAGTTAACAAGCAAGTTTAATAGAATTGCATTGGTATGTAGTGTTGAGTGATATTTTGTAGGTGCTCCCGCGTAGTATGTGAACCAACATGGCGGGCACCGGAACGTAGTATGTGTACCAGGTTAGGATTAGGCCATAATTTCTGGTACAAATACTACAGGAGTCACCTGGCTAGTCCCCGAACTCGTAATAGAACTGAAATAAGGTAAATCGAAGTGAAATCATGGCCTAACCCTGACCTGGTACACATATTACGTTCCGGTGTCCGCCATCTTGTTTCACATATTACGGGAGAACCATTTCGTACATTAGTTATATTATATATTGATAATATTGTGACGTATTTTCCACGCTTTGAGTAAACTGCACAAGATGGCAAGTGAAAGAAGAAATGTGTTATGCGTTTCGAACACAACAAACGATCCTGATGAAAAGCTAACAATCTGAAATTATAATAGTTAAGTCGTTATTCAACGATTAACTATTAGCCGCAATTGTTGACTTTATTTCGAGGCCATTCTTAATTCAACAAACATTGTATAACCAATATATAGTTTATATGTTACGTATTATTACAGCAATATTTCTGGATGACTTACGGCCTGCCACAAAGTAGTGTCAGACGAACTTGGAGCGCTAGGGGGCAGAGCCGGCAGCGATATCGGTAACCTTGCACAACTTTATGTGAACTTAGTCAACTCACCATTTACGGAACATAATGATGTTTTATCCTGTTCAATAACTAATAGAAAGTTGAATATTTGTTATTCGTTGGAGACTTCAATCCAATTTGTCTCCAAGCGTTTTCATTTGTTCACTTTCTGCCAACCATGCCAAACCATATGATTTCACATTTATTATCAGTTTTCAAACAAAAATTAATTAAAATTAATTAATAAATTAAAATTTAAATAATTAATTAAAATTAAATTAATGAAGTATATCAACTTACGGTTTATAGTTGTATAGTTGTTGAATGATTTCACATTTATTATCAGTTTTCAAACAAAAATTAATTAAAATTAATTGTTAAATTAAAATTAAAATAATTAATTAAAATTAAATTAATGAAGTAAATCAACTTACGGTTTATAGTTGTAACAACAAACAACCAGATACATAGATATATATATATATATCAGTGGCGGCGCGTGGTCATTTTGACAACAGGGGCAAGCTACTGCGGGACCAAGTCACCCCCATCTACGGGGACAGGATGAGCGCTGTAAGTTCTCCCATCATTTTATGAGTATAAAACCATTCCATCGGTAACAACCAATCGGCAAAAGCAACAATTTTTAACGATAAGAAAGTGTCTTTAAAACCGGTCCAAGTCAAGGGATTAATAAATATAGACATAGTTTATTTTGAAACCTCTTTCAAAAGGAAAGGCAATATTTACCAGATAAATACAATGACATATTAACAGAAACTTCGGGAAAGCAGACAAAACCTAAAATAAGGTTTAAAACGTTACTATGAAGAAAGGAAAGTTAATGCAAAGATAAGGACATGCGTCGCTCACTCATAGATATATATGCTGCTAGACTTCTACTGCTTGAACATATATGCAACACGCCGCGGTTTCTTGGAAGCAAAATGCTCAATAACGCGCTGATTAAAGTCATGCATCCCAGAAATAACGTCTCTGTGAATGGATAAAACAGCCAAGGAATTTAATCTATCTTGCTTCATTGTGTTTCTGAGATACGTTTTAATACGCTTCAGCGTGCTGAATGTTCGCTCTGCGTCGGCGGAAGAAATAGGCGTCGTCAAAATGATGTCCAGAAATTTTGCAGACGCCGCAAAGGTAGTTACTAGAGTGTTATCTATGAGGAACCCATAGAGCGCGCAAGTTGATGTGATGTTCAAAAAAGTTTGATTGGTGTATATACATCGCAATTCATTTTCCAATTTACCCACGTTTATCATGGGGTAAAATTTGGAGACAGTAGCCAACAAATGGATGGGAAATTGACGTGCAAATTTTGAAAAATTTTTGGGGTTCATCAAAGAGAACGCGGCAAGGTGTTCAGTGCGCAGACGATCGCCTATTTGATTCACCAGAATGTCACAGCATTCCTTTGCAGACAAAATCAAACGCTGCGTTGTTTGCCCGCGGCGTAAAGAAGCACTCCATGTGTCGTCGTATTTTATTGTTTCCCGGATACGAGATACAGCATCGCAGAAGTCTGAAATACACGACTGCACAGACGCTCCATCCATTAGCCTTGACTGCAATGCGCCGTATAATACATCCACGTGATAGAATATTGTGGAGAAAAAAGCGAGAAAAATGAAAACTCACCATCTTCTAGCAGACGCTTTAGACCTGCCGCCTCCCTCACAGAGCGTTCGTCCCAAACCGGAGAGCTCTGAATGCCATTGAAACACTCAATGAGCTCAGACCTAATTTCGGACACGCCCTGCACCACGCGTGATTGGAAGTTCCAACGTGTTGGTGCACAAGCTGGGAGACGGCGGCTACATATCTGGCGAAGGAGGTCAGAGCGCTTCGGCGCAACGGAAAAAAATGAAGAAAACCCCGAAACATTTGCACAAAAATACGGACGAGAGGGGTATCAAGACACATATTTTTAATAACGAGGTTAAATTGGTGTGCATAACAATGTAAAAAATGCGCATGAGGAAAATCTTCTTTTATATAAACTTGAACACCATGTTTCGACCCACTCATGACTGCCGCGCCGTCATAAGTTTGAGCTATCAATTTTGACTTCGCGTTGTAAGGCTGTAACACTTCTTTCAGTACAGCCGATATCCCGCAAGCCGTGCGATCAACGATTGGTACAAAGCTGTGAAATCTCTCGGTAGGTTTACCATCTTTCACAAACCGAAAAATCACGCACGTGATGTCAGTTGTCTCGTCAGACTGAATCGAAAGGAACTGGCAATTCTCAATTTCCAGAGCCAAATGTTGTAAATAAATTTTATACATTGAGTCGAGCAAATCATTTTGGATATCCTTAGATGTCCCTTTCGAAACAGTTGCGGCATCAAGATGATCTCTCAATACTGTATCTAGGGATGCGGTGTATTCCACCATATCCAAAAATACCCCTCTATTAGAAGAGCCAGCCCGTTCATCGTGCCCACGGAGGGACAGCTCGTGACAACCAATGAACTTCAAAACATCTATCAATCGACCGAGAACATGGCGGTTTTTCTCGACGTTTTGGTTGTGCCGACGAATAGAAACCGCGCGTCCTTCATCCAACTGTGCTGCAATATTAACATTTCCGAATGTTCGGTATTTTACTGCATTGTCCAGATGCTCCATAGAAGATTGATGATCCCTGGCACGCTCGGAAAGATGTTTAAGATCTCTAAAACCAAATTTACACCAACGTGAGTCACGGGCGGTAGCAAAAAGTAGGCAATAAAAACAAAAAAGTGCATTTTTGTCCTCGCTGTAACACAACCATTCGTGTTTTTTATACCAAGTTTCTGCGCAGAATGTACGCCGACGCTTTCCTCCGTCATGGGATTGTTCCAGTGAACAATTTTTTGGTTGATAAGGCCCAAGACGTTGTACCTCTAATTTTTGTTCCAGCGGCAGCTGCGAAAACGGAGTGCGAAGTAGTGCATCAACCTTATTCATTATGAGGTCTAAGGCTAAGAAATGCGAAGCCGGAAAGAAGTGAGGAGCTCAAAAGGAATGTGGAAAATCGAAAACAATGGACTAAAGGTCTCTAACTGATTCAAATAGCGAAACAAGCGACAAAAACGAAGGCGAGGAAACTATCAACTCTTCAAGCAACCAACGAACGAGAAGGAATGCGTGAATATGTCAACACGTTGTTGTAAGAAACGTCGGCATTGTGTCGTCATAATTTCGGGGCTAGCCCGATCGGCCCGATGATTTAGTAAAGAAACAGAAAACAAACGAGACAAACGCGGCGAGTGGAAGATAAAAGAGAGAATACGATATACAATGAGCAACCGGGGTAAAATCGGCGTCGCCCCGTCGACGTTCGGCGAAGGCTTTGCGAGCGAAAAATGAACCATGTCGGGAGAATATGGCTAGTGTAGACAGTCTATGCAACCGATATTGAGGTATTTTTCGAATATTTTTTATTATACCGAAAAAACAACCGGGGCAATGCCCCGGTTGGCCCTATTGACGCGCCGCCACTGATATATATATATATATTACGATGAGATATTGCCGATGCATGTGTACATATAGGTCGTTAAAACAGATGCACAGATAAAATTTGAATACAAAACATTTAATTGCTTTCTATAAAATAAAAAACAGATAAAAAATTAACCAAGAGTTTTTGAGTCTTAATTGATTCATCATTTACATTTCGAATACATTTCCATATAGATTTAAAAGTTTAGATTTTCTACAGAGAAGAACTCAACTTTTTAACTTTAAACGTGAATGAAAAATGCCCCTCCGTCATGAAATTATATTTTAGTAAAATCTTCAGATTTAGAATCCTACAACTAAAATTATTTTTTTTGTGCAATTTATTCAAAAAAATATTGCATATCTCCTTGCGTTCTTATGAATCTATATGTATTCATGTCTGCATGGTGCACCTAAATTCCCACCCCGCGAATAAGATTATTTAGTTTGGCCGTTGAGCTTCATTTATCGTTTATTTATTTCATTCATCATTTCATCGTCGTTGAGTGGCATTTACAATATAACTTATTTTTAGAGTTGTTGAGTGAATTCCAGAATATGGATGTTTGTAATAAATGATTTGAGGCAGATACAGACACACATTTAGCAGTACGTTTATCAACCTTGTGCAAACAATCTTTGTTTGATGAATTGCATTTAGCATAGTTGAAAAAAAATCTAATCGCCGAAGTCTTATATACTGATCAATTTTTCACAGTTTACCTAGGAAATATCAGCTTACAAATACATGCCGCCACTTGGAGATCATATCAGCCACCAAATTAATCACGGTCAAATAATCTAAGTCTGTTTTTCTAAGGAAAGATTTTAAAAAATTGTGTAGGTAAGATACTTGGATAATGTCGCGCTACCCGCATTCTGTTTCGAGTATATTAACTTATGGGAGAAACGAAATAGAACCATTTCAATTTTATCATGGTCACAATGACATTTCAGTATTGGGTTACACTCCGTGCGATCAATACGAAGTTACATTTTCGCCTAGTGTATCCCGCACCAAGGTAATTCTATCAGAAATTAAATACTAAATATAAACAGCTTTGTCAATTGTATTTTTCCGCAAATCAATAACGGTTACTACAATATTCATTCTTAACGATTTAGATGAAATAAACATTCAATATTTTAACCAAAATATAAACGATGAAAATCAGTAACACCAATGTAAATTAATAAAAGGCTAGTAATGTATTAACAAAATAATTTTAATTGTTCTTTACAGATCATTCAATATTTGTCACATTTGATGAGATGTTAATAAATATACACGCGCTGATGATACCGAATGCTGAATTTATTACAATCACAAGAATTACAGCAGTCCGACTAACATTTTAAATTTTCTACGCCGATAATTGATTGATGATTGATTGCTCACCGGAGAGAAAAACATTTCTTTCATCTTGAGAAACCTTTCACACAACAGTCTAAATATTCTAAAACTCTAAAACCATCCCGGAAAGTATGACCAGTGCCGTAAATTAAATTGTGTGGTGTGATACAATATGAAATGACGGATACTACGTTAGTTTTGTGAAAAATGATTGAATGAAAAGAACATTTTGCTCACCCCGAGTAAGATTTAGTTGAGTATCTGAACCTCAAAATTCTAAAACCAACAGTTGAAATAATAATTTGAAATAAAAAAATGCAGCCACAGACATTCGCAATCCAAAATATCAATATCTTCCTTCAGCCTTGTATTGTTGTCTGCCTGTACCGTCGTGTTTTAATATTATATATTTGAATTACATCGCACGCGACCGAATTTTAATTTGTGCGAGAACTCTTGCAGCCACAGCTATTCTATGATATAGCAAGCAATCAAAAATCCGATAGGACATCAATTTATATCAGCAAGTTTTCTTTCATGATTGATCGGGCGTGTTCTGGGTATCCAGTTACAAATACTTCTTTGGATAAATACGTTTGATTTATCTACTACGCCCCCCTTCACCCTAAAGTACCATTTTCTTTTATTCTTTTATATTGTTTATTCATAAAGTGAACTTTAGTATGGTGGAAAATTAAATTACTAATTACCGAGTGAATGAAAATTGAATGAACATGTAACCAATTGGTATCAAACGAGCAGCAAAGCTAATTCAAAAAGCATTAGTGCAAACGCTGATCACAAACGATTGTGCTATATTTGCAAAGTATGAATGGATTGTATATTAATGTTTAAGAGTATATCGAATTTTTGCTGACAAAATATGACCATGTTGCACGGTCTATTATTAGATCTTTTTTACATTTATGTTAAGCCACTGTTGTAAACATGACGAAGACAAAATAAACATAATTTGTTTTGCTTGCTAATGTACATAAGTATTTTATCTTCAAATCTAAAATAACGTAGTTCTTTTTGGTGCTCTTTAATTCAAATATATATTCCAGATATCGAGAGTATTTGTGAATGTACATGAATTAGCCCCACTTTTTCTTTTTAATTCCTGAATGCTATTGTCTGTATTTCCTGATATATGTTTATATTCCACTTTTAAACTAGCATAAAAACTGTACAAGAAAAGTCAAACTTCTGTTAATATGTTTTATTACTCTACGTTATAGAATTGTTAAATAAACAGTGCTTAAACAAGGCCAACAACTATTAAATTATTAATATTCCTATTGAATAAAAATAACATACATACAGATTGCAACATCTTTAAAAATGACCAACATTTAACCAAAACAAAAATTAAATACCTCAAACACATTTCTAAGTCCCAAAGCAAATACAAGTACTACCAGTACCAGAAAATTACGACGTACTTTATTTTCTTCATTCACAATTTTGATATTATCTTCAATCTCGTTGCTCAGATTGTTTCGTTCTTGCTGCACAATTGCTGACATTTTTGACTTCAATAGGTTTGTCTTTCGATCAAACATTTCCATTGCCCTTATTTTTTGCTGATTACACAAGTTTTGAATTTTAGAATCATATCTTTGAGTATGCTGAAATATAAATATGGTATTACAAATAAAACACGGTATGTTAGTTACCATATTGCTTAAGGCGGTATGTATCAAAATTACGAAAGAAGGCATACGATTAGACGTCATTGTTTAAAAACGTTCGCTATAACATTGTTTAATTAAAGTAGTACGATTTTTTGGGAATTTCAATTATTACTTAATGTGTTCGAAGTGTTATGATTTTTTGCCAATTTTTGCCAATTAGATAATTAGTGAAACTTAACTGGCCCATTCAAGTCAGAAATGATTATAAGTGGTAAAAATATAAAATATTTGATTCTTTTTTTCATTTTTCTACAGAATAAACAAATCAATGTATATTTTGAACTAAGATATAGAATTTTCAGTGAGACTTGTCCTACTTACATTTCGCATTTTGTTCACAAAAAGATTGTATGCTTCGCTTCTCGCTGTTTTAACTTGAGATTTGTTCGTCTCCTAATTTAAATATAAAAATAAAAAAGAATTATAAAAAATACAAATAGAAGCCACATCTACCATCTATTTTTATTTTATATAAGTTATTTGTTTAATTTCTTTTATCCCATCATTAGTTTGTCAAAAGTAAAACAAATATTCACACACATGCTCTTGTTTCTTGAGTTTTACTCTAGCTTGTTCAGTCTTGTTCTTACTCTTGAATATTGAAAACCTATCCTCTATTTCTTGTCCAAATTCCTCTTTATTATCCTTGGTGATACTGTTACAAATAATTAGAAGCATACTGAAGTTATCTAGTAATTGGCCACTGCTAATGGAAAAATTTAATTGTATACTACCCAAGTATTATGCAAATGTGATATATCTAATATTGGAAGAAGAGAAAATGTTAGTTTCTATCGTCGATTGAAGCATGAATATCTTATCAGGAAAATTAGGAATGTGGAAATAAAGTTTTTGGTAAAAGTAGCAAAAGAAATAATTCAGGATATGTTTAAAATGATAAAAAATGAGGTAGACACGTTGAATTATAAATAATTTATTTTCTTACTAAATGACTCCCTAAACTGACGATCGCTGCCCACAATTGCAATTTTCCAAATGTTTAAATTTTTTGGGCAAACCTGTGCTGCAGCTTATTAAGATATTTAAAGCATACTTGTCGCTGCCTAAAGCTCTTTCAAAGCTTGTAAAAGCATTCTCTTTGAGCGCTGTGTGCTTTTCTATGAGATTTGTGTCGCTCGGAGGAGAAGAGTATTGAGATATATGCTGTAGAAAAACAGTTACACATCCTTAATAATGACAATGACTTAAATATTATTTGTTCATATCAGTAAAACTGAAATATTAAAACATAACAAATGTCAGAAAATGGTTTATGCAATAATATTAACAAAAACTGATTTTTCATTAATAATTTTTTATAAGATTAATCAATTTAATGTTTAATTAACTCCAATGAACATACTTACCATTTCCATGCTGTCGCAATAATCTTTTACTACTTTCTTTGTTTCCCTGCGTTTCTAAAAACATGTAATATCCTATCAGAGATTTAACAACAACAACAACAACAACAGTTGATAACGCAGGAGGAAAATTAGCCAATTTCACAAGATTTTTTTAAACATTGAAAAAATAGGAATATCTAAAAGTTATAAAGAAATTGACTGAACAATGAGTAAAAAATATACCTTTTCGTATTTTTTGGCGAGTGACATACCGGTAAGTAATTTCTGTGAATTTAAATTCAGGTAATATCTCGTTTTATTTGCATTATTAACCAAATGCCAACGTTATACATACACTTAGACAAACGCATGTTTTCTTTTGCTTTTGAATTTCTAAAAGCACGCTATGCCTCGATATTGATTATTGTTTGCAGCGATTAAGCAAGACAAAGACAATCTATATTTACCTTTTTTTCGAAATCTGCATCCTCGTTGTTATTTATTGTCTTGAATATTTCAAATCTATTATCCATCAATGATACTAGTTTTTCGAGATCTTTGCAGTGTCACAATTTCTGCACAAAACACACACAAAAATATTAAACAACACTGAAATTGAGTAAATTTTAGTATAAATACCATTAAGCAGTGATCAACCTGGCCAACCGGAAAAGTCTTAATAAAGCTTGCAAGCTTGAGGATATTTTGATAAAATCTCCGATTTTTTTATCTGTGTCATTT